GCCGAAGGAAATTACTTGCTTCAAAAAGATGTTGGCTAAACAAGGTAGATCGTTTGCCTTCGAATCTCATGAAATTGGGTGTGTGGATCATATACAAGATTGAGAAAAGATTTTAATTTGACTTGGAGAAGTTCATCTTACATTATCGAGTATGAAGTCCGTATTTGGAGTACGAGAGGTTGTAATTGTTGGACATTTATGTGGATCTTACGGAAGAAAACGAGATTCGACTAAAGTTGATGCAATTGGAAGGATGAAAGAGGATTGTGATTCTTTAACAGAGGTTCGCAGGTTTTTGGATGCATGTGTATTTTATCGAATCTGGATCCCTCATTTTGCTCACATAGCGGATCCATTATATGAACTGTTACGCAAGGGTTACCGATTTAAATGGGAAGAAAGGCATATTCAGTCAATGCAAAGATTGAAGAAATTATTGATATCACCTCCAATATTGAGGAAGATTGATTATAAGTGCAATAGACCAGTGATTCTTACTGTGGATGCTAGTCCAATTACCATTGGATGGGCTGTGGGTCAAGATGATTCAAATGGGAGTAGATTTGCAGTTCAATTGGGGGCTAAAGTTTTAAGTATTCGTCAACGTGTATATTCGCAAGTCAAAAGAGAACTTTGAGGAGTCGTTTCGGCTATGAAAGCTGAAAAGGACTATTTGATTGGAGCAGTAGTAGTAATTGAAACAGATTGCTTGCCATTGCTTGGAATGATTATTAACTGTTCAACGCCAGATATTCCAATGTTGAGATGGATTGCTTATATTAAGTTACTAAATCCAGAATTTAAGCATGTTACTGGGAAGGACAATTTAGTAGCAGATATGCTATCTCGAGCACGATACGAGAGAGAGGACGAAATGGTTGAAGACATTGATGATGTCGGATTGAAATTCTATTCAATATCAAATCCCAACATGGAAGACAAGCTATTTCTTGAAGAATCTTATGAAGGAGAATTATTGAATATTGGTCATTACTTGAATACCTTGACTAAGCAGGGGAATTAGTCTACAGAAAAATTCAAACAAATAAGAAAAAAAGCATATGGATTTTTACTTCGAGATGTCTTCTTATGGAAGAGACCGAAGAAAGGAATTAGGATGCCACAACGAGTGATAGGCAAAAAGGAAGAAAAACTAAAATTATTAAAGGAGTTTCATGATAGTTTATGGACAGGGCATAGAGGAATCTGGGCTACTTTTGCTAAACTCAAGGAACGATATTGGTGGAAAAATATGTATCGAGATGTGCTCTCATTTGTAGAGTCATGTGAAATCTGTCAATCGTATTCTAATATCCGACATCGAGATGGTCTTCATCCTACGTATCCTCTGGCTATTCATTTTAAATGGATTGTTGATTTGGTTATTATGCCGGTTGGGTTATGGCAGATGAGATATTTGGTTTTAGCTTGTGAAGATTTATCAAATCAAGTAGAAGGAAGAGCATTGAGGACAAAATCTACAGAGGGGATTTGTAGGTTTTTGCTTGAAGATGTCATTTGTCGCTACGGATGCGTAGGAAAAATCATTACAGATCGTGGAGAATTAAATGCACAAGAAGCTTGTAAGTTCTATGAAAGATGTGGAGTTAAACTATCACTGACTACTGCTTATAATCCGGAAGGGAATGCAAAAAGCGAACGCGGTCACCCACCGATTGTGAAAGCATTAGTTAAAGCTTGTAATGGGAAAATTAGAGAGTGGCCACGGCTTTTGTCATTTGCATTATGGGCTGATCGAACAACACATAGTTCGGTGACAAGATATATGCCAGTAGAACTTATGACAGGTCGAAAACCAATTATGTCGATTGAAGAAAAGGTACTTACTTGGAGTATGCTACCATGGGAAGATGGATTGACAAGAGAAGAACTTCTGGCTATTAAGATTCGACAATTGGAGCAAAGAACGGAAGATGTCCAGATAGCATTGGGAAGGTTAAAAAGAGTAAGGTTACAAAACAAGGCACGATTTGATAAGCAACATCGATTGAGACCAAAAGCAATCGAGGAAGGTGACTGGGTACTTATTTATGACAATAGTCTGGATAATCAACATAGTACTTTGCTGAAATTTTTAAAATGTTGGTTTGGACCATATGTTGTAACAACTGTTCATGATAATGCGACTTACTCATTACGAGAGTTAGATGGTACAAAATTGAAAATACCAATTATAGAGAAGCGAGTAAAAATATTTAAACGAAGACACGCAGAGATGAATATGGAAGACCTTAATGAAGGTATAGAGATTCTGCAACAAGAAGATGAAAGTGATTTGGATAATGAAGGTGACGAAGACGAACTGGACAAAGACGTAGAGGATATATTCTGAATCAAACAACAATTCGGTAAATTGGTACATATCGGAGGATGCACAGGTTCAGAGGGGGTGGATGTCGTGTTGTAACACGAGTATACCGTGAAAATATAAAGAGAAGGGACTTTTATTAATGTTCAGTTACCTCGAATATTGGGAGCAACGACCAACTCCAGTGCAAATACTGAGTGGCCAGGTTCAGTCACCCCATTACAGTCAGCCAGGGCATACTGAAATGCTCCGTTCGATTCCAATAATGGGAGTTAGCAGGAAGAGAAAGGACCAATTCACTTGACTGGTGAGCCTGGTTCGAAGAGCCAATTGGATCCAATTTCAAGAATCCAATCCGGGTCCTCTTACCCAATATAAACCTGAATTGGCCGGGCAACCCAATGCAGTCTAATTACGGGAAAATCTAGGTCTTACTACGGGCTTCAGCCAATCTGACGTGAAGGACCAATTTGATCCAATTAGAGGGACATCCAGGTCTTACTACTGGACTCTTAGCCAATATGAGACCTGAATTGGTCGGGCGACTCAATGTAGTCCCGATTACGGGGTTTCGATTCTGTTTCAGGTTGTCCTGTTCTCTGTACCATTTCAGGAAACGTTGTTTTTGGTAAAAGGATCCTTAAAGGTAAAAATGGGGAAGAAAGCTCTGACGGCGAGAGCCAATTTTGGATCCAAGCTCTGATGGCGAGAGCCAATTTCGGATCCCAGCTTTGACGGTGGGAGCTAATTCCGGATCCAAGACGGAAGATTGAAGAAATTTAGAGGATAAGGTTAGGGGGGGGGGGGTTTTGTGAAGGATCGGGGAAAGCTAGCTTCATGCTTCGGGCGGAGAAAGAAGACAAAGAATTGGATTTTTTTTCTTCATAGGATTTTGGGAAGACTGAGGCAATCGTTGCTGAAGTCAGTGTTGTAATGGTGAATCGGGATTTTTAATGAAGTGAGTTTGATTACTCTTGACTGTTTTGTGAAATCGAGTTACGTCTGTGATGAAGAGTTAAAAGGGTGTCTATAGGATTGAGTATGCGGAGTGAATGAAATTTATTGGGTTAATCTAACAAGACAGTCAATGGATACAAGATCGTGAGTATAAAGCGGTATCGAAGATTAGCAGTTTGGGTTATTCGGGATTCTCTGTAACATCTAGAGACCTACCGGCTAGGGCAAAAAGGACTTCGACAAGCAGTCGAAGGGCATCCATATAGATTTACGGTGTATTCTTGCAGTTGTTTGTATTCCAACAGTCAAAACCCGATAAACTGCTTGAATATTGGCGAATCTCTATACTACCTTCTACAGCCAGACGCCCGGCGCGTTCTCCAGCAGGAAAGCACGTAATAAGAGCTTGTTTAATTGATAAATACTAGTGGAAGTAGGAATTGCATTTAAAACATTGATTTTAAAGTATGGATTTTGAAAATTTGAATTGCAATGTATAAATTCATATGAAAAAAATAAAATTTTAAAAATAATCGAGATATATTTGGTTATTTTATTAAATATATAATTATATATATAAATATAATTCTTAAAAAATTATTTAAATAATTAAAATTAATTTTTAAACTTAATATTTTATTCAAAAAACTATAAGATTTTATATAGTATATTTTTATATTTTGTATTTAAATACATGAATTTAATATATTTAGGATATATAATAATGAATAATTTTAAAATTTAAATTTTAATTAATTTATGATATTTTAAAATAATGAATTATCTTAAAAGTTATTTTAATAATCAAAAAATAGTTTTAATAAATTTAAATTTAAAAAATCTTCTACATATTTTAAAAAAGTTAAAAATATAAATGGTGTTGTTTTAATTAATTTATGATATTTTTTCTCTTAAATTTTTAATTTTTTATTATAAATCACATATATTAAAGTTAAATTTTTATGAATAAATTTTTCTATTTTTCATTTTAGCTATTATAAGATTATTAAGAAAAAGATAATAATACTATGTCTCTTGCTAATGCCACTATAGTTTTATTTAGTGCCACCACAAATTACTACATATATCACATGTCTTTTTAATTCTTGTTATTCCATAAATTCTTTTCAATGAAATGGCATGTGGTATATGGAAGATTGTGACAACTGAAACTATAGTGGCATTAGTAATATCCTATAAGTATGGTATTAATTAAAAGATATATACATTATGTTTTTCTAAGTACTTTTTTTTATAAATAATAAATAATTTATTGATTTTTTAATATTTTCTTGATATATAATATTTGACTAAATTTTTAATTTTTATTGTTTTTTTTTATATAAAATAATGTAATGTGTATGTATATACATACATAAAGAATTTGGAACTACAAATAATCTCTATTTTTTTAATATATATATTTCATGCTTTGTACTTATATTGATTCAAGTAAAAATGGTTCTATTCTCTTTTGTTTATGTATGTTCTATTTAAGTTTTTGGTCACTCCTCTTCATATTACAAATTATTTATTTATCTAATTTTAAAATTAAGATGAAAATATAGTTAAAAAAATGAACACTTAATTCATTAAAAATATGTATGAAAGGAATTTAATAAAAAATATTTTTTTAAAAAAATAAAAAATTACATGCCAACATTTCACTAGGATGAAGCGATGTTTAGCAAGCTCATACCATAAGACAGCAATATCCATAGATACTTTGTATACACAAAGAAGAAACTGTGCACATTTTTTTTTCCTTTTTCTTTACTCAAATTCTACCTTTTGACTTGGTCCTTCAGCAGTGAACCACAACCATACCGAAGGGCTTTGCAAGTTGGCGCCGCTCCAGAAGCTTAGAGCGGTCCTCGTGTGGGTGCATTGAGGCTGCACAATAGTTGTGCAGTGGCTTAGCATTCTACATGAAGGACACCTTCACGTGATTTTCGCTCTCACTTAATTCTGGTGCATTCTCTTTACTGACGCACCTTGAGTGAACTTAATTCTACTACGAATGCAATCCGCAGGCTGTTCTAAGGTTCGGTTGCATAGTCGGGAAGCTCAGGAAGCTATGGGAGCAAGGTCTTGCACTGCTAGTTAAAAGAGGATTTCATGCATTATGAATTAATCATATAGAATTTATTATCTGCTTCTCTTTTCTTATCTTTTCTTTTTTTTACACCAGAGTCAGATAGACAGGCAGAAAGAGAGAGAGACAGACTGACAGTCAAGAGTGTGGCTTCGACTTCACTCTAATAGCCTGTGGCCGCCATCACACACTTTCAACAAACTTTTTGCCCACTAACATAGTAGGTTCACGTTCAGAAACGCCTGCGGGGCTGAGTACTTACTCACGCCGAGGCGTACCAGGGATTCTCCTACATGAAGTTGATGCGTGGGCCAATGCTCTTGTGTAGTAGCGGGAGCAGCTTTGCAAGCTGGTCTTTGATATACGGTGCTGAAGCGACAGACGAGGCCATCACACAACTTCGTTGGAACGAAGCTCTCGAGTACTAACACCACGACCGCTGCTATCACCACCACACATAGTGCCAACATGCTCAAAAGCCATGACTGGCATGCTTCTAAACCTTGTGCGGAACTGACACCGTTCGATTACCTTCCTGTGTCCGCCTCACGGCCCCCTCAAAAAAACAATAAAAATAAATAAAAATAAAAATAAAAACACTGAAAGCTGCGTTGCAACAGCACGTGATTATCAGGATGACAAAGAGCATGACTGCAGCTGGTTCGTGAGAATCCAGCTACAGTCATGGTGGCTTATCTCCTCGCAAGAGTCAAAAACATGAAATAAAATAAAAGAATCTGCATCGGAAAACTGCCCTTAGAAAAGGGCTGCAAACTGTGCAAAGCTTCGACCTCATTCACATCGTTGTAAGTTAGTCAAGCAATCATATTGAAGAAACACAATAAGGAAGACACAAAAGAAGTGTGGAATGAGATCCCTCTCACTTCCAACACCCTTTACTTATAGGTAGAGGTTACATCCATTTTGGCTAGTATTCATCTTACTTTCATCCAACTAAACCCTAGATTCTTCTTAATCTAGCCTCCACTTTAAACCCTAGCCACCACCTATAACCGTAGCCACCACTTAAAACCCTTGTCGTGACTTTGGTAACTTTCCTTCATCCTTTTGCTGCCCTTTGACCATTAGCAATTTATCTAAGATAATATCTTTTACCTTCTAAGTTATCCTCAATTTACTTTAACACTCTCACTTTGCTATTGGTCAAAGGCTAATAAACCTAATCCCTTTATCAATTTGTAATGTCTATCCTTCACCAATGCTTTTGTGAGTAAATCAGCAAGTATGTCTTCCGTTGCACAATATTTCATGTCAATTACTCCCATCTCAATTTTCTCTCATATGAAGTGATGTTGAATGTCAATGTGTTTTGTCTTTAAATGATGCTTTGGATTCTTGGCAAAAGCAAGGCATCTTTGATTGTCACACTTCATTGGAGTTGCTTCCAATTGCAGAAGTCCAATGTCTTCTAAAACTTGTCTTAGCTATATTGCTTCCATTGCACCATGACTTACTGCCATGTATTCCGCCTCCATTGTAGACCTTGCAATTGTTGGTTGTCTCTTACAATTCCATGAAATTGCTCCCACTCTAATAAAGAATACATATCCCATTGTTGAACTTCTATCATTTGCATCTCTAGCCCAATCCGCATCACAATATCCATGCAATGTAATACTATCACCTCCAAGACATAATTTGAAGTTCAAAGTGCCTTTTAAGTATCTCAAGTTTATCTTCATGGTTGTCCAATGAATTGGTCCAACTTTTGACATGTGTTGACTCACAATACTCACCGTATATGTAAGATCTACCCTTGTACTAACCATTGCATATATAAGTGAGCCTATTGTTGTCTTGTATGGAACATCTTTCATTTCTTCTTCAACTTCAGCAAATTCCTCATCCATGAGCTTCATCAACTTCAAATTTGCCTCCAAAGGTGTTCCAATGGACTTGCACTCCTCCATATTGAACCGTTTTAACACTTCTTCAATGTACTTCTTTTGGCTCAATATAATAATCTTCTTAGCTCGATATCTCACAAATTCTACTCTTAAGCAATAGTGAAGCTCTTCCAAATCACTCATTTCAAATTCTTTTGCTAACTTTGCCTTCAACCAATCCATCTTTTTCAAAGTATTGGTCAAAATGATCAAATCATCAACATAAAGAATAACAATCAGCAAGAAGGCTTTTGATTGCATCACATATATGGAATCATTAGTCTCACTCCTCACAAATCCTTCATTCACAAAAAAGATGTCAATATGTTGGTACCATGTCCTTGATGATTGCTTAAGCCCATACAAGGATTTCTTCAACTTACACACAAGGTGTTGTTTGCTTTCTTCAACAAATCCTTGAAGTTGATCCATGTAGATGTCTTCTTCCAATTCTCCATTCAAGAAAGCCGTCTTCACATCCATTTGGTGCATCTCCAAGTCTATTGTTGCGCCAATTGCCACAATAGTTCTAATAGTGGTGAATTTGGCCACGGGAGCAAATATCGCATTAAAATCAATACCAATAACTTGTGAGTAGTCTTTGGCAACCAATCTTGTCTTATACCTCACAATATTGCCTATTGCATCCCTTTTGGTTCTAAACACCCACTTACAACCAATTGAAGCTCGATTTGATGGAAATTGAGTCAATTCTCATGTTCCATTGTCCATGAGTGATTTGTACTCTTCTTCCATAGCATTCTCCCACTTCATAGCATCCGTGGACTTCATTGTATCACATAAACTCAACGGATCAGCAAGAAAAGTAACATTGGCATGTTCTTTATTTATTTGAAGAAAAATATGGTCCTTCCACCATTCACCACGTTGTTTTCTATCTCTCAAAGGATATCTCTTTTCATTTGAAGAAGACTCAACTTGTTGCACTCCATGGTCACCTCCAACCTTCTTTTCTTTTGAAGATAGTCTTTTCTTACTCAAAGGTTCATAATCTTCATCACCATCATCATCAACATCTTCATGCTCTCCATTGTTGGTCTTAGCAATTGTAGAGGCCTTCTTGTCCACCTTCTTTGCCTCTTCATCTTCATTTCCACCTTTACAACCATCGTTGTCTTTGTCTTCTTCTTTCTTTGCTGAATTTGAAGATGTGTCTACAAACACACCATCACTCCCACTTGGACACATCTCCAAGTGCTCACAAGCATTCTTATGTTCCAAAAACTCAACATCATGACTTTTGATGATCTTTTTAGTCTCCAAACACATGAACCTATAAGACTTTGTATCTTCACAATATCCAACAAATACACATTTTATATCTTTTGCATTAAATTTTGATCTCATACAATCTGATATCTTTGCATATGCTATGCATCCAAAGGTCCTCATGTGACAAACACAAGATTTTCTTCCACTCCAAGCTTCTTCCGGCATCATTGATGTAAGTGTACTTGTAAGACATCTATTTTCTATTGTATACTGCATTCACTATTGCTTCCGCCCAAAACTCATGTCCAAGGTATTGTGTATAAAGCATATTCCTTGCCATCTCCACAATGGTCCGATTTGCTCTTTCAGCAACTCTATTTTATTGTGAAATGTAAGGAGTAGAGGTTTGTCTTGCAATACCATGCAACTTTAAGAAATCATTGAATTGCTTTGACATATACTCACCTCCATTGTCTATACGCAATACCTTGATTTTGCATTCACGTTGCTTCTCCACAAGTGCCTTAAATTCCTTAAACCTTGTGAAACTTCACTCTTTGCTTTGAGGATGAAAATCCATACTTTCCTTGAAAAGTCATCAATGAGTGTGACAAAATACCTTGCACCTCCTATTGATGGCATCCTCATAGGTCCACAAACATCAGAATGGACAATCTCCAATAATTTAGTTGCACATATTGCAACTCTACTTGGAAATAAGACCCTTTGTTGTTTGCCTTGAATACAACCTTCACAAGCAAGTGTCATAGTATTGTGGCTTATATGACCAAGATCTAAGCCACTTACCATGGATTGGAGCTCCTTCATGCTTTTGGCATTCAAATGACCAAGGCATCCATGCCGAATGCCAAACTTATCTTAATCTTGAAGAAATTCAGCAAATGCCACCACTTCAACTCTATTCACCTTCTTACACTTGATGAAGTAGAGGTTGCCATCTCTAAAGCCCTTTGCAATATGATCTCCTTTCAATGTCTTCACAAAACATCCATTCTTATTAAATTATACTTTATAACCATGTGAAACGAGTTTACTCACCGAAAGGAGGTTTTTCTTCATCTTTGGCACATGTAAGACGTCCTTCAATCTGATTCTCTTGGTTTGGCCTTTCACAACAATCTCTATAACAATGGAACCCATTCCAATAGCTTGTACTATGCCATTGTCTCCCATGAAGATATTTACTGTTGAAATCTCTTCGTAAGTATCAAATGAACACTTGTATGGATTCATGTGCTTGGTGGCACCAGAATCAATGATCCACTTAGACATAGCAGCCATGGAGGTGCCTTCATTTGCCATGAATGCATAATCATCACCTCCATGTTCATCACGAACATTGCTTGCACTTTCTCTATGTCTTTTCTTAATCTTGTAGCAATTTCGAGCAAAGTGACCTGGTTTTTTATAAATGAAGCAAGTCCTCATATTGCCACATTCGTTGGGATGACTTTCCTTGCCTTGCCTTGAAAAGAGAGCCGAATCCTCACTTTAGGGCTCTTTTTTTCTTTTTTCTTGGTCACTTCATGGGCAAGTCTTGCCGTCACATAATCTATTGTGAGTTCTTTTACTTTGATGGATTCCAATGCCACAATGAGGTAGTTGTAGGACTAGAGAAGGCTCATAAGCAAGGTGATGAGAATATCACTCTCTTCTAAAGGCTTGTCAATAATAGCAAGTTAATTAGCAAGGGCCTTTATCTTGTTGATATGAGCCATGAGGTCTTCACCTTCTTCTATCTTACAAGTGAAGAATTTCCTCCTTGTGAAGTTGATATTAAACAAGTTCTTGCTCTCATATATGTTCCAAAGAGTCTTCCATGCTTCTGCTGGTCCTTTGCAAGAGATGATGTGAGAAAAGTTGGCTCCATCGAAATTAATGGCAATCATGCAGAAAGCCTTCTTTTCACGTCTTGTAAAGTCCTTCCTCTCTTTAGCATCAGCATGCGTGCTTGGAGGCTCTTCACTTTCATCTACAATGTCCCAAAGGTCCAAAGATGCTAACAAAAGCTCCATTTTGACCTTCCAATGGTAGAAATTGTCACCTCTAAACTTCTCAATCACTCTCAAACCTTCACCCTCACTTGAAGCCATGTCTTAGAAGAGGTCTATCAAAAAATATAAAAAAAATAGAGTCTCTATGTACTTAAAATCACTAAAACAATTTTGTACTAGCAAAATCTCAAAATTCCATCTTGTGAACAAATGAATGTTTCTTCACTCTAAACACTCCCAAATCAACTTTTGAAGCTTCTAATAAGTATGTGAACTCCAATCAACCTCACTATCAAGTTCTTCTACTCATAAAACTCACTTTCTCACTACAAAATCAAAGACACTATCAAGGTCTTTGTGTAAGGTCTTAATCACTCAATCCTAGGAGTTAAGAACCTTCAAACTGATATAAGAGATCTATAAGGCCCAAATCAGAACCTCCACAAGTCAAAATACCAAATTAAATCATACAATCTCTAACATCAGTAAACACCATAAGATCTATTCCACACAAGAACAATAACCAGCATATGACTTCAACTTACTTGAAAAGTACAACAAAGTGTGTGTGGACCCATAACCTATTGAAAAAACACAATAAAGAAAACATAAGTAAGTAGAAATCAACAAGGTTAGACATAAGAGAAGTGTGAAATGAAATCCCTCTCACTTCCAACACCCTTTACTTATATGTAGAAGTTACATCCATTTTTGCTAGTATTCATCTTACTTTCATCTAACTAAACCCTAAATTCTTCTTAATCTAGCCGCCACCTTGGTAACTTTTCTCCATCTTTTTGCTACCCTTTGACCATTAGCAACTTATCTAAGATAATATCTTTTACCTTCTAACTTATCCTCCATTTACTTTAACAAATCAATCTCTCAATACATCAAAATAACTACAGACACAAAGACTTAAAACAAAATCCATGGTTAGTGAAACATACTAAAATATACATACATATATATATATATATATATATAAATTCTGTCATTCTTTCTCAAGAGAGCTTCGTACAGCACATAGCTGAATAGTTCATGAATGTCACACACACATACATACACAATGAGGCATGGCTTGTGTGGCTTGGATGTATAGTGAAGGATGGATGATTTGCATCCAAAAACACCTTTATGGCTGAAACTGCATGCATCCATCCATTCGAATCTCATGCTTCAGGCAAACTCAAAGTAAAAGTGAAAAAGACCACAAAAAAGAAAAAGAAAAAAAGTGTGGAAAGAAACATGAGCCCACTTTGGAGGATATACGCTGTTTCATTTTTCCTCTTCACTATCTGAAGCTTTGTTTTTTACTTTTTTCCTTCTTTTTTTATGGTTTCCTTAAATACTATAAAAATCCACTTTAAAATATAAATTCATCTTTCAAGCTTTGCTATGTAATTGTGATCCTTTGGATTTTGCTATTTGAGCCTAAATTTGGAAGTTATTTCCTATTCATCAAAAACAATATGAAGAAATGGAAGAAGAATTGTAATGTGACATGTAACACATATATTTATATTTCAAATATTGGTGGTTTGATAGTATTTTTAATTTTGATAGTAATATCCAAACATATAAGATTTTGTTTCTATTTGATGGATGGTTTTGCATGTATTTCTGAATTTGGTCAGTGTATTATTTACTAAAGTTTCTCCTATCAATAAGCCCTCTAAAAAAGAACTCTGTTTCTTGATAATTTTACACTTGAATTTGATTGATAATTCATTTTCAATCAGTGAATTGAAACTCAACAATACCAACATTTGATAAAAAAAAAAATGAATAATGATTTACACATGTTTTTACAAAATAATATCGTATCTTCTCATAAACTATTAGTTAAAATTCACATTTATATTGTTAGATAGTGTAAATTTCGTGTAAAATATTTTAGCAAACATTATATAAAAAGATTATTACGCTTATTATAAATCTTAACCATAGTGGGAAAGGGTTTGATTTCGTACATCATAACTTTTATGATTTTTACGAGTTTTTATTTTTATTTTTTTACATTTTTTGTATTTTACTTGATATAGAAGACAGTTTAATTTTTTTACTATGTTTATTGTGCCATTCAAAAGCTTTGATTCTTGGTTTCTACTATTTGAAATTAGATGTTTACAAAATAATTTTTGGTTTAAAAAATCAATTGATCAATTATAATTTTAATTTTATAAATTTAATATATAGGAAAATAAATAATTATATATATATGCATATTTTATATACATATATTATAAACTGAAGAAAACCAATGCCATAACTAAGTATTCTTGAAGATCCTCTTCTGTTCGAAACATCGAAGTCAAGAATGAAAACCACAAGTTTAGCACCTAATTTCGGTTTATCGACAAAACAATGAAAAAGACATAAAAAGACACATGGAACTATTTATAGTATAAAGCTATAAATTTGGTCCACACTATTAGTTAACCAAAAATTCCCGACTCGAGTTTGAGTTACCTTGGGCACAACATCTACAAATACGATACGAATACGTATCAATGTACCGAACCGTTCACACGGAAGGCCATTTTGCGAGGCCTCTTCGAACGACAGCAAGCTTGTGAGAGCTTCGGTGTGTTTGTTGGTGATTAGAGGCAACAAATTCCCTGATCACAGCGTCGTGAATATTGCTCCCGTAGTGAAGCGGAACCGATGTGATCGCTAGGTCCCGCTGATATTCTCGGAATATTGTAAATAATAAGTCATTTTTTATTTGTAGAATCTCGGCACAGGACTGGAAGAAAGCACTGAAATCTAAGTTGTCAGAGTTCAGTTCGTGTTCATGGGACCTAGCCGAGCTGAGTCGTTGCAAATTGATTCGAAGAGAATGGCGTGTGTTAGATGTGATACACAAGAACCTCTACTGTGCACTGTCTTTTTTTTGTTTTCTTTTTTCTTTTTTCTCCATTGTTGTTTGCTTGCAGAGTGGGAGAGATAGGTTTAGGTGCCGATGTGGACGCCGATTCTGACTCTGTAACTTCGGAAGAAAGTATTGCGCATTTTCACATCCATACTGGATAACTGAATGCCCCTGCGCGTAGGGCCATGTCATCTGCTGTGAAAGGTGAGTCGGTGGGACACTGCCAGAAGAATTGTGATAGCAGGAGAAGAAGGTCGAATTATCCGCTTTCGATGGGTATAAATTCGAATGGGGTGCGAATGAGTCTCTCACAGCAGCCTAAAGGACTTTCGTGGAGCCTTGCAGCTGAATGCTGTTTTTTCGGTTTGAAGAAACCTCTCGCAAAGTCGTGGGATCCAGGTAGATAAGCCATTTCTTTGAAGTGAGTTTCGGTGTATAGAATGTTATATTCGGGCTTCAAGGAAATAGGAAGAAATTTGATTCGGTTGGGTGTTAGTGTGTAGTGAGTCAAGTTGTGAGGAAGAGTTCTTGTGAACTTTGATTTATGGACTTGACGTGCTTGAATTGGGCTTTCACAGGGCTCTGTTAGTTTGAATTGTGATTGTAGAGATCAAGGTTCTTCGACTCGCTCTTGCTTTGACTCATTTGAAGGCCATCCTTAACATTTTCTTGGTGTGCGTATGCAGGACTTTAAAATGATGCTGTAAACACTCGGAAATTTATCTTTTGTAATCTGTAATTCAAATCTTGAAAAACTTTTCAAGATTCGTTCAAATTATTTTGGTATCGGGTTATGTAATGGCCAGCTTAGGCTATTCTTTGCAATTATTATTCTTACTATTGAGCGTAACAGCGTTTACGACAAGAGCGTGTGTACGGAAGCCTGTCAATGTGACTTACGATCAGCGTGCAGTCTTGATCGATGGCGAGCGTCGTATGCTCATCTCCGCGGGCATACACTACCCTCGTGCCACGCCTGAGGTCATTTCTATGTTCTACATATAATTCACTGTTGATATTCTTCATTTTCTTGCATCAATTATCTCTGATCTTGATAATCAATTGAAAGTAATAGGAGTTTATAGGTCTAGCTTGAACTTATCAGAACGAGTGCCTTACTTCTTTTGGAGTCAAATATGATCGTTGTGTCTAACGCGTCTCGTGCTCGCTCCTCCATGATAGCCGCTCAATTGGTTTCCACATGAAGTTGTCTTTTCTGAGATCTAGTATGTGGGACAACTCGATAGTATTTTGGCCATTTTAATGCCCTTATTATGCAGACAGTTTCTCGTCGAACATGTGTATTCTTTTTGTGTGGTTTTGGGAATCTGTTATGTAAGCTTCAGTATCTGTAATTTCACATGCTGGTTGTTTGCCAGGTGCCTTCCAGCATTTTGATCCTTGAACTCTATGCTTTCTCATGTACTAGTCTTTGAAGGTTTCATCATCTCACTACCAGAAAGATACATGTTTGAACTTGTTACACACAACTTATCTTAAGATGCTAACGAAAAGCTTTGTTAAAAAGATGTGGCCAAGCATAATACAACATGCCAAGGACGGAGGTGCAGATGTGGTGCAAACTTATGTCTTCTGGAATGGCCATGAGCCTGAGCAAGGCCAGGTTGGTATTCCATGGACCTTCTGTTTCTTGAATGTAGCTAAACACACTCAGGATATTTCAAAATCCGAGTTGGATACCATTTGTTATTGTACATGTATGAAATGTTCGTGCAAGGGAGGGTTTTTTTACTTGTAGGAAATAGATATAGCACCAAATACGAGTCATCGCATTACTCCAAGTTGATCGTGCACCAGGTTTATACATCAGATTTTCTTAGTGGTTACCTGAATTTCTGTCTTGTAGTATAACTTCGAGGGCAGATATGATCTGGTCAAGTTTATAAAGCTAGTGAAGCAAGCTGGACTCTACTTCCACCTCCGTATCGGCCCGTACGTTTGCGCAGAATGGAACTTCGGGTATGACTTATGATCAGAGCTCTGCAATTCACTTGTACAGAAACAAAGTGACCAGTTGCTGAGTAGCTGGCGCCATAACTGGAAGTTAGAATAGTCTTCATGCATGTGTATTGCATCCCAACAGCGGTGTCATGTATGATTTGGTGCAGTGGATTCCCGTATTGGTTGAAAGAGATTCCTGGAATTGTGTTCCGTACCGACAACGAACCCTTCAAGGTAAAGAGTTACTCTATCACCGTCATCACTTAGCGGAAAATACACCTCCAGCTCTAGAAATTATAATTTTTTACGGCCTGGAAATTCACTCTAATCATATCAAACAAAAGCAGCGGATGTCAAGATGGTATTTTTCTAGTTAATGATGAAGCTGATGTTCATAGGTGCCAGTCGTAATGTACGCAATAATTCCATCACCGGTGACTGCACTTTGTATCCAAAATATCTGAGCGCACTAGACATGCACTTGCTCAATTGTTGCTGTTGGTGCTTTGAGTCCAGGTTGCGATGCAGGGGTTTACGAGCAAGATTGTGAACTTAATGAAGGAAAATGAACTTTTTTCGTGGCAAGGAGGACCTATTATTATGGCTCAGGTAGTTGGAGAAAGCGTTAGTTGTTGTTTGATTGTTATGATCGCATTGTAGTACACGAGGTTATCAATATCATCTTGCTATTCAATAACACTACTTTGTTTCGCCTTGATGGCAAGCACTGCTAACGCGTTCCGGTTATAGATCGAGAACGAATATGGGGACATTGAATCGCAGTTTGGTGATGGAGGAAAGCGATATGTTCAGTGGGCAGCCGACATGGCTCTCAGCCTTGATACACGTGTACCTTGGATTATGTGCAAACAGGAGGATGCCCCTGCAAACATCGTGAGATCCCTTAGTTATGCTGTTAGTATGGCATGTGAAGCTGATAGTTTGTCTTTGTCGATGTTACGAACTGTTTTCATGTGAAAGTAAGACTTATGCTGGTGGATTTCCAATTAGGCATATGGCTGGTCGTAATGACATTGACAGCTTCTATGACTTGGCCTTGCTCAGATAAACACTTGTAATGGGTTTTATTGCGACGGGTGGAAGCCCAATACCGCCTTAAAACCAATTCTATGGACGGAGGATTGGAATGGCTGGTAATTTCTCCGTTAGTTTTCTCTTTGCTGCACAATGGTGGTTTGCAAAATGGATTATGGTATTCTCAATTTTTTCCCCTAGGTTTGATTCGATTTTCTTAACGTTTTCTTTCATTCTTCTCTTTTATATTTTTGAAGAATGGGTGTATGTAGGTTTCAAAATTGGGGACAGGCTGCTCCTCACAGACCAGTAGAAGACAATGCATTTGCTGTTGCTCGATTTTTTCAGCGCGGAGGAAGTTTTCAAAACTATTACATGGTGGGAATTGAACCAGGCTCTCGGAATATTGAAGTTCAGTATAATTATTCAATAAAAAATTTCTAAGCAAAAGATTAAGAAACTTTAATTAGATGCTTTACAACAGAATTTCTAATCAATTTATGCTTGTCTGAGTTGTCTTAATAGTACTTCGGAGGCACCAACTTTGCTCGCACTGCTGGAGGACCATTTATGACGACGACATACGATTATGATGCTCCCATTGATGAATATGGTGCGTCTTTCTAAGGATAATTCATGGTTCTGTATTTTTACTTTAAGTTCAAGTATGACGAGGCAAACTACAGCGTGATGGTTGGAATTTTATTTTTAACGAATGTGTATGACACCTCAATGCAGGACTAATAAGACAACCAAAGTGGGGACACCTGAAAGATCTTCACGCTGCTATCAAGCTCTGCGAGCCTGCACTAACTGCCGTGGACACAGTACCTCAGTCCACTTGGATTGGTTCGAATCAAGAGGTTCCGACTATTGATGATCACGCCTTTTTTCATTTCAGTTTGGAATTTTGTAGTAGATTGAATTTTATTGCCATCAACCTTCCACTTCTGAAAATGATACTCGACGTCGATTGTACACTTGAATATAAAAATGTTGTTGGAATTATGTTTAGAGATATATTGGTCACATAAATAACTTCAACACATGAGTCATTAATGTAGAACTCAAATGTCTAACGTTGGGACTTGAAACAGGCACATGAGTACTCAGCAAATGGACATTGTGCTGCTTTTCTTGCGAATATCGATAGTGAAAATAGTGTCACTGTACAATTTCAAGGCGAGTCGTACGTGCTTCCAGCATGGTCAGTCAGCATCTTACCTGATTGCAAGAATGTCGCGTTCAACACGGCCCAGGTGATTTTCGTCTTCGAGCATTTCTTTTCTTCCTTCTAACACATTTGTAACTCGTTGATGTAGATATCAGTCTACTTTCACCGCTAAAGGTCAATCATTGATCACTCCAGACCCAGTCTACCCCCAGACCAACAGCTGTCAAATTGCCCCTCTGTAGTTTGTCAAAAACGAAGCAAGGCTCATCTTATTGACTTGGTGGCTATGTAGCTCTAAATATATTCTGAATCACCGTACATTCCTAACTATCCAGTACTTTCATACAGATAGGAGCTCAGACGACTGTGACAAGAATGAGAATAGCTCCCTCAAATTCAAGAGGTGATATTTTCTTGCCGTCCAACACGCTTGTGCATGATCATATCTCCGACGGCGGAGTGTTTGCAAATCTGAAATGGCAGGCATCTGCGGAGCCATTTGGCATTAGAGGTTCTGGAACAACCGTTTCAAACAGCTTACTTGAACAACTTAATATTACCAAAGATACCTCTGATTACCTTTGGTATTCAACCAGGTAGCTTTCTAATCATATCTTCCTAGGTCTCTAAGTTGTTGCCAGTTCTTACTTGCTCCTGCAACATACTCATTGAAATTTTTAAATAATCAACCTCCTTAGCGATCCTTGTTTACATCATGCTTTAATTTGAAAATTTAGGTACTTGCTTTACTGCCTTGAGATATACATTGATCTCTTGATGGTTGCGTGAGCCATGTCTAATGGAGTTTCTTGTGCAACATAAAGTATCACGATCACCAGCGAAGGTGTGACTTCAGATGTGTCTGGCACGGAAGCAAATCTAGTTCTCGGCACAATGCGCGATGCAGTACATATCTTCGTCAACGGAAAACTTGCAGGTATAACTTTAACGATCTGTCGGTCTTCCCTCTCTAATATTTCATTGATAAATTTAGTGATCCCATGCAGCAGCATGGCTTGATACTTGGGGCTTCCTTGTTATCCTTATTACTGAAATCATTTTTATTTTCATGTATCATCTTCTTTGTATACCAACGGAGCCTGATTTCCTGGCTGTACGAGCAGGTAGTGCAATGGGATGGAATATTCAAGTGGTGCAACCCATTACATTGAAGGACGGGAAGAACAGTATTGACTTACTAAGCATGACTCTGGGATTGCAGGTCCTTCATGCAACCCTTCCATTCTGAGTTCATGTCTTTCAACCGATAAGTAAAAGAACTTTCCTGCTGACTTTATATTACCGTCGCCATAACGTTATTATGTATATATATATATATATATATATATATATGTTTTCCTGTTATTTCTTAGTTTCGATAGAAATACAAGCATCGGCAGTAATTAACACATTGATGATGGCAGAATTACGGTGCGTATTTAGAGACTTGGGGTGCAGGAATTCGAGGATCCGTGTCAGTAACGGGATTGCCATACGGTAATTTAAGCTTATCGACAGCTGAGTGGTCATATCAGGTGACCTTTTCGTTCTTATTGTTCTCTGAGATGGTAGCTTACCGAAGAATGTCTAAGTGTACAACTCGTATGTGTGTAAAATTTTTATTACTCTTTAAGTTTCTTGCATCAGCTCCTGAAGGCCATACCTGACTTGTAGTCTGGTTTTTTCCTCTGCAACTTTCTCCGTTCAGGTTGGACTTCGAGGAGAGGAGCTCAAACTTTTTCACAATGGTACAGCAGACGGTTTTTCTTGGGATTCATCTTCGTTTACAAATGCTTCTTACCTTACTTGGTACAAGGTATGTTGAGCAGGTCCATTATTGAGGAGTTGACTCGTGTTAGCGTGGTGATGATGCAATTGACTAGTATTGGAGGAGCAAACAACAAATACTGTACATATTGTGTTATGCTAAGTAGCAGAGTAATCAGGAATGTAAGAGTAAGCATGTTGAATAAAAGTTGAAAGCAGTGCAAAGTAAGAACAACTTCGTACGCGGGTTTCTGGAACGAAAGCCTAATTTTCGTGTCATTAAAACAGTAGCTCCTTTTTTACAGACCACTTTTGACGCACCCGGAGGTACAGATCCTGTTGCTCTGGACTTGGGGAGTATGGGGAAAGGTCAAGCCTGGATAAATGGCCACCACCTGGGCCGTTATTTTCTGATGGTTGCCCCACAATCTGGCTGCGAAACGTGTGACTACCGAGGCGCCTACAACACGAATAAATGCCGCACCAATTGTGGAGAGCCCTCGCAACGCTGGCAAGTGATACACTTTCAAATGTTGGCTAAGTCGCTTCTTGTCGTGTCAAGTGCTCGCTTTCTGCAACTAAGCACATCTTGTCAACATCCATTTACAAGAGTGAGATTTTCTTCCTCTATGTATGTTTTAGCATCTAGAATTTGTATGTTCATGCCGATATGTTATCAGGTCTCACTTGCCCATGCAAACACTTTGTTTCATTTAGTTATGGTAAATGCAGGTATCATATTCCTCGTGCTTGGCTGCAAGCTACCGGGAACCTGTTAGTGCTCTTCGAGGAGATTGGAGGTGATATTTCGAAAGTTTCTGTTGTCACACGATCAGCTCATGCAGTATGTGCTCACATTAATGAGTCTCAACCTCCACCTATTCGAACTTGGCGCCCTCATCGTTCGATAGACGCATTCAATAATCCTGCGGAGATGCTACTTGAGTGTGCAGCTGGCCAGCATATAACTAAAATCAAATTTGCAAGCTTTGGCAATCCAAGAGGCTCTTGTGGTCACTTCCAACATGGTACCTGCCACGCAAATAAAAGCATGGAGGCTGTGCGTAAGGTAAATCCTGCAACCCACCTCGTGGCACCAAAGGTTATTGATTCACCATCTTGAGTTTTACAAGACAGAGTTAAACCTTCTTTGTTACTAGCACCAAAGAAAAGTAAGATTTTAATGTAAAAGATTCTGTCACCAGCAGACCGTTCGCATGTCTAAGGTGTTGGTTCACTGATTACTGCTTAACGACCTATAAGTTTTTGCTGTAGGTTGCTGCTGTTTGTCTGATGATCTTACTTGTAGTGGAGTCCTCACTGGGCAATGTTGTGTTTGTAGGTTTGCATTGGCAAGCAACAGTGTTACATACCTGTCCAAAGGAAGTTTTTTGGATCTATCGATCCTTGCCCTGGTGTTTCCAAAAGTCTAGCTGTGCAGGTTCATTGTTCTCCACATAAGAGCCCGCAAGCTTCTCATGAACCTGTGCAACCAACTTACCTTGACTACCAGTGGCAGCAACCTCTCGGAGCATACGACAATCCGAGCGAGAGAAAACCATCACTTTTACCAGAATCTTATTGACCAATCTAATAACCTCCACAAAGGTATAACCTAGGTTCAAGATGATTTGCAGTATGAAGCAGTAATACGTTGCTCATTTTATTATTTGATGCATCAGATAGTAGTCAATTTGAGAGTAAAGTTATGAATGGGACAGTTGTGATAATCCAGAATACTTCGATAAGTAACTTTTAGAGCACATCGCGCAGAATCACCTGGGAGAAGCAATATGTTTTGCAGAAGTCAAAATCAACTAACTTATATTACGTATTTTGTTGACACCAGGAATCAATCGTGTGTTACTGAAGCACAGGATAGCATTTAGTCTGGCATATTTTTGTTGGAAGTTGCGTAATGAGCCACACTCTGAACAAGAGAGTCTTATGCAACACAAACGGCACATTCCAAGTGCTGGGTGGATCCTTCTAACGAACTGTGATCGTTCGTGCTTAAAGTTAATTCATGAGTAATTAATTGATTGGAGGGCTTTTCTAGTTATATAAATTGTTGTTGTTTTTATTATCATTTGTTTCATATGGGTACTAAATATTAATTTATGGTTCTCATTGGAGATGCATTTGAATAATACATTGTTTATATATTAAGTTCACTAAAAGGTGCAACTTTATATTTATTCTATAGTTGTGACTCTTGCTAAGTTGACTAGATGCTAGTTGATAATCTAATTGGATAAACTAATATTACATTAACAAGACAACAATTTCCAAGAATCAATCTGTGTATTATTTGGTTTTAAATTATAGAGTGTATAGGATTGTACAAAAGCTGCCTTTTTTTATTTTGTTATTGATGGTTATATTGCTTAGAAGCTTAAAGCTTTGAAAGCTCAATTGGACATACTTCTTTATCACGGTGAGAAGTAGTTGATTTATTTTTTTCCACTTGTTTTATCAAATTTCTTGTGGGATCAAATTAAACAACTATATAAAAAATACAACAAAATTAATCAAATATACTTACACAAACAACTATGCCATATTCTAATGTTATTTTTTTTAGGGTCTTAGCAATCCATCATCTAATTTAATAAAGAAGCTAAGAATCATTGAAAACAAGTTATTTTGTTCTTCAAAGCCTTTCCAAATTCTTGAAGCACTATTCTAACTATCCAAGATGGAATTATGGATTTTTATTTATTTTTTATTTACTTTTTAATATTTTTTTTTGTTTTTTTGTTTTTTAATTTTTTGATCTTTAATCTAAATTCTACTTTTAATTTATATTTGGAGTCTTAATAATTCTAATTGGTTTTTTTTTAAAAGTATTAATAAAGAACATAAGTTCGATGTTTTCTCTAGATTATATATATATATATATATATATATATATATTATTAAACCACAAAAAAATTGGCTATAATTTAACAAAGGAGCTCTAAAGCAATATAAAAGAATGAGAGCTCCAAATCTTAAAGACAATAGTATGATATTTGCAAATTAAAGAGAGGTTGTATTGAATAAAGAAATAGAAGAACAAGAGCAAAGATGACTTAGATGAAATGAGTCAAGCCATAAAACAAGTAAAACAAAAAATGAAACTTAAAGAGACATTAGGAGACATCTTAAATAAAATAAAGAAAGATTGGAATATATTAGAGAGATAACAAATTATGAGAGGGTTTTTAAAAAATGAATGAGATTTAAAGTTTTTTCTTGTGTAGAAAAATAATCACTATTAGGAAGAAACTAGCAAAAAGTTTTGTAAAAAATACTTATTTAGTTTTGATGGTTTTTTTTGTTTTTAAAAGATGCATATATGTTTATTAAGTAGGAATCTATTAATTCCATAGTAGAGTAGCTTATGTTTAAGCCTTCATATCTCAAGTTTTGGAGCTCAATTTAATTCAATTTGCAATTATTGGTCTTAAATCAATATACTAATGTAGTGCTGTGGATAAAAATATATACATCTCTTATTGCAAAGAAAACTTAAAAATAGATAAAATGCCTTCTATATTGATTAAATGGATGTAAATAAAGAATTTAAAAAAAATAAATTTAAAAATAAATTTATATTATTTAGCCAAAGGGTTTTATTGTCTCTAGTAGTGAAAAAAAAGTTTGACTCTTACTCAAAGTTTTGTATAGCTTTTTGCACACATCAAGAATTTAATATAAATTAATTAATGAATGTTTTATTAGCTAAAGCTTTATAAAATGAAAATATAATACAAATGTCTACTTCAAGCATTCACAATAAGAATTTATTCTTATTAGCCTCTATATTGGCAACCTTTTTTTTCTAATCTTTGATGATTTCTAACATCTTTTAACTCATAAAGATATTTTTCTTCAAAATTTTTTGATGACTAACAATTATGAACTAAAGTACTTACTAGATATCTAAATACAATATAATCAAAAGATAAAAATACTCACTTTGTCTTAGAACGAATATTTTCTATCTCTAATAATTATTAAATATTTAATTATTAGCTAGGATAATGCATATTAGGTTGGTCACCTTCACATAAGATAATCCACCTATGGCTAAATTTTTCAATTTAATAACAACTTAGTGAGCAATAGTAACCTTGTTATACAATGAAGTCAAATATACTGGAATTGCCACTACAACAAAAGTATTTTTTTTTGTCTTCAATCACTCATTAATAAGCTTGGATTTTAAGTTAAAATTTTCATTACACTCTATTAAAATTTCTAATCTTATATATCTTTGGCCAAGAATCCAAAATTCTACAAGCATTAAAAATACATTGACATTTAATATTATTTTTTATGACAATATATTGATACTCAAGTTATCAAAAGAGTATATATTTACAAAGCCATTATGTCTTTTGAAGCACAAGGCTTAATTGAAGAAAAAACTTCTTTGTTGTGATGAAAAAAGAATTATAAGCTATTTATCAAATACATCAAAGGTCAATAATGTCAATATTAAATCAAATTTCTATTTCAATTGACAATTTAGCTAAAGAGAGAGTGTTAATGTAACACTAGTTTATCTAATCATATTATCAACTAGCATCTAGTTAGAATAACAAGAGTGACAATTATAAAGTAAATATAAAATTGTACTTTTTAGTGATCTTAGTATGTTAAAAACAAGCTGTTATAATGATAACAACTTATTGTGTGTATGTATATATGTATATATATATATATATATATATATATATAAATACATACATGAAACAATTTCTTTTTAATTCCACTTTTGGTCTTTGAAAAAAGATAACTTTAGGATAACTTTTTAAAATTTGTCCAAGTTTTGGATTGAATTTGAGGAATTAAAATTCTCAAAGTTGAATAGGAGACATTTAAGTATTTTTAGAACTTATGTTTTCCTCTATTGACCATGTACCCATTTTACCAATATTTTATGCATTACTAACAATATTTGTCCATCATTAAGCTGGTCAGAGAGCGAGAATGGCACCTGTTCTGCAAAAATAGAGCTTTTGTGTAAGTTGCGAAGGAGGCTTCGTTCACACATCTACAGCGGTGATGCACGATCAGTGGCGACCATAAAGACCTGCAACTCCTGAATTAGATCAAAGGAAGTGGTAAGATCAAGACACACTCAAGTCCCCAACTACAAATATTGTGTAAATTTGCTGCACAAGAGTTTAGATAAGTAATTCAATGCAATATCTTCAGATGTTGCCTCAAACAACCATTTCACACGAAAACCAGGCCCCGAGATGGAGAGCAGCTTCAAGTCCACAACCAGCAAAGGGAGTCTGCATTACGAAAATAAAAGCCCGAATCGATTACTTCCATTGGGTAGTAAAGTCGAATCAAATCGTCACGTAGAAATAAGGGTGGCGGAAAGTCAGTCCAAATGGCTGCCCCTAGTAGTAATAAGTATCGAGGTCGTATTGAATGCTAGTGGTAATGTTCCGGTATCTGATTATCGACGATGAGAATGAGATAGATCTCAAATACTGCAGTGAGAAGCATAGATTCATTCAATGCTGACGTGGAGATCGAATCCGTAGAGCCTGATGCTGGGTGCCATCCACGCCCAGCTGGGATATCATGATCTTGTCCACATATTCCTGCAATCCCGCACCCCCGCCAAAGGGAACAGCGAATATCCGCTACGTTTAACCACTTCGGTTGGGTACAATGCCTCGCCGAAATTACAGGAGTAACTCGACTTGGAATGCCGCTTGGGTAACTCCTGGAAACTCCTTCGGATATCGTTCCTTGCCTCCGGAGCACGGTCAAAATCCTTCTTCCGCACATGTCGAACCACGTGGAACAAATGAAGTCCGTGTCAACGTTTCGATGATGTCGCATGTTCAGTACGCTCGTCCTTGACAATAGGGCAGGGTAGATCCGATTCCATTTGGCAGTTTCAGACGCGGTACCTCAGTCTCCAAGATTCGGCTACTCCGATTTTTGCTACCACCTTGAGCTGGGAATATCACCAGGGAAAGCACAGTCGTAACCGTATCGCTGCAGTGTGTAATCCTGTGGTGCTCAGCTTGTGTGCATTTTGTTAGGGTTTTCGCAATAGCAACAGCTTCTCACTGGCTCGTCACCTGCTTAAGATTCGGTATGATTCGCGGGCGGAATTTACTCAGTCCAGGTGTCTAATGCCCAGGGTCGCCTTCGTCTCTGAGGTCTCAGATCCACTTCAATTGCCTCTGCACATGATTTGACGATCGGTATAGTATTGACGTTTGAATAGTGCTGTATAGATTAGCTTACAGGATTTGAGCTTTGAATGTATTGTTGAGTTTTGGTTTAGGTTGGGGCACCAGAGACTGGGTTGGTGTTGTTTTTCCTTATGTCGGCATGTATTCTTGGCGATGAAAAAATCGGGACATTTGCGTTTTACTTAAACTATGTGATTTGATGTTGATTGTGATGACTCTGCTCTATGCTAGAGTAATTTTATCTGACCTCGCTTTGGAACTTCGTCTTCACTGCTATCGCTTCATCATCGACCGCTCACGAAATTGAAGCACATCACGATGATGAACGCTCCCCAAGTTCTGCAAGGTCTTCTACAACGACTTCGTGTCGAGGTTGAAATTCTAGTCGACACCCTCAAGTCCTCTATATTGTCTGTGCAGGAACATTCTGCAGTAGAGTGACGAAGCAAGGTGCAGCGCTTGCAAGTTAGGGGTTAGAAATGGGAGGAAATTCATCGACATGCGCGGATCCGCTTCAAGGACAGGGAAAGAGCGATGGCGAAAATGCTCTCACAGAGAAGAGTGGATCTTCCAGGTGGAGACGGGGCGGAAAAAGTGGAAGCGTTCATCATCGACCGCTCACGAAGGACCAATTCAGCGGAATTGCAAAAATCCAGATAGTTTCTGTAAGTCCTTTGCATCTTTAGCTCTTTGATGCTCTATTCTAAGACCTAGCAAATTGTCTCAGTGTTAACAGATTTGTCGAAGGTCCGATTGGTCTTTCTCATTGAGCATTTGCACAGAGGCTCCTCCGGTTAGTGAGTCATTTACATCAGCTAATTGTAAACTTATTACTCGGGCTCTTTGAAAATGATACAGGCACATATGGGTTTCAAGGACAGGTGGCTTGTGTGTGTATCTCTCGGAGAACAAACGTTCCGAACAGCGACCTCTGTCAAGTTGAGTACACCTCCTCAAGTATCCTTTTATGGTTTCTCAATTGATGATTTAGTTTTATGAATGTCATCGTGATGTGCTTCAGATTCTGAGATGAGTCACGAAGGTTTTTAGGTTCATGTAAATCTCCTAGGAAGGAGATAGAATATGGTGCTTACAATCAAATGCCTAATTAAATAGTCATGATGCGTTTGTTCCTATTTATCTATTTTGTGATAATATCATATTAATCACTGACATTGTCTCCTTTTGTTGCTTTTGATATGTCCTTTACTTACAGCACGGACAAGCCTGAATGGAAATCAGTGAGTGTCACAATTCCTTAAAGTATGTGCTTTTCTTCATTTTTAAAGTTCTCGTGTGTACTTTCTCAACAGTCGCATGTGCTTCATGAGAAAGTTACTTGTTATCTGCAGGAGAGAAGCGTGGTGTTGGAACACAATGGTCCTCGAATTGTTAGGATATCTGTTTTTGAGGTACTGCTTTCAACAATGCTCTTCCACTCTTAAGGATGACTATGAAGTTTGAAAGTGTAATTCAGGTATGCCAACTCATCAATTACCACCCACTTGATTTATAAAACCTACTTGTCGACTGATATGCAGACTAATAGAACCAGCAAGAACACCCTCGTTGGTTACTGCGAGTTCGACCTTTCAGATATTTTTACATCTGTAAGTTGCACGTCTTGTAATGAATTTGACTGCTTTGAGGCTTCTCAACTACACTGAAGTTATTTATTTGCAAGTTCCTGAAAATTCTTTGTTTCTGGCTTCCGGGAAGAGTGGTGCAAGTCCTAATGTTGCTTGAGCCAGCGAAAATAGGCTACCCTGCTCGATTCACTCTATTTCCTTCAGAGCTCAGAACCCTCGTACATTATAATTGAAATTATTTTCTCAAATATCACAGCAATGAATAGGGTAAGGCGAGGGGAGGATGAGTTTGATGTGCTTTCTTGAGTGTATTGATGCCCAAGACTCTGAATTTTCACAGGACAAAGAGCATATAAATGAGGTCCATGATTTGTACGATCCAAATTACACCTCAAAAACTGTTGGAAAAATCACATTGAGTTATAGTGCAGAGGTACTATAATTTCATGAAACTCTCCTCTTACGTTGTGTGAATTTAGTTGGGCTATCAAGTAGTCACTATTTTGCTTCAGCTTAAGCGAGTCCAACAAATTGAAATCCCATGGTGTTGATTTTACCATCTTTTCAAATTTGAGAAATCATTATAATGTGGACAATTCGTTCTGATGCTGCAGTCTAGAGAAGAAACGGAAATGCACTTTGCGCGACGGCTACTTGCCATAGTGGTATTAACATCCTCCCTCTTTCCTGCAGCTCATTGTTGCAGCTGGCAAAACTGTGTGGTGCGATTTGCTATTAATTAGTACCGTATTTGGAAGTACAAGATGTTGACCCTTACCTCTTGAAGTCTCTTCCTTCGTTGGAAATGAGTTGGTATTCATTTATGGTTTCGTCCCACATGTTCTTTTGTCCATATTGCTGTCTTTGAGACATTGACGAACCCTCTTGCCGATAATTCCTGTGCTTTGTTCATTCATCAACAGGACTATGATGACAGCGGAGAGTTGTCATTCAAAGAGTTTCGAGCGCTAATTAAAGCTTTCGGAAATTCTTTGTCAGATGCCCAGGTATGTTCGCTAAGCTTTCAGAGAATGTCAACTAAAAATTCAGCTTGATCTATATCGTATGTAATTTTGGAACTTAAACGGATGTGGATATTTCATATAATGTGATGTTTAGTTTTCAATTTTTATCGGCCTTGGATGAAATAGAGGATCTCCCAAGTTGGAACATTACACAGTTTGCTTTTAAGTGTTGTGTTTGGATCTTTGCAGCTTAATGAACTCTTCAATCATGCCGATGTAGATAAAGACGGGAAAGTGAATGCTGATGAACTGGCTGCTCTTTTGGTCAAGAGTGATGTGGGGTGATTTTTGCGAAACCTTTTTATTCTTTTGATTTGATTGTGTTTCTTCATGGTTAGTAGACAGAGGGTGAATTAGAGGTAAGCCATGCTCCTGCCACTGCAAGTTTGCAGTGCATCGCTTGCTAACAAATTTGGTTTAGGATTCAGGTTGATGGGACTGATATAAAATTCAGCTTTGTCATCTAATTATTTACTGCTGCGAAACTTGTAACTGAATTACACTGCAGGACATTCCGTGTGAAAGCCTGTCCTGTTTGTGGAGAAAAACTTGGTAGCGCTGATTTGCTCAATGATATGATCCACATGAGTCTGTGCTTCGACGAAGGCACTGGCAAGCAAATTATGACTGGTGGCTTTTTGACAGAAAAGCAGGCTGCTCATGGGTAGATAATCATGTCTTTCGTGCAATTACGTACTACTTATTTCGTAGCAGGAATGTTTTGCATGGATTATTGAACTGTATTCAGTGGTCCCATTTTTCTGGGTAGCAAGAGAAAGATGCTTTTCAAAGTTTGGTGTCATTAGTTTTAGCTCGATCTTGTAGTTAAATGATTTCTCCAAATCCTGACTTGTATTTTGATTGTAGATGGATGTTCAAATTGAGTGAATGGGCTAGCTTCCAATCCTACGACGTTGGCCGTGCAAACGCCGGACACATTCTGGTGTGTCATTTTCAACTGGTTGTCGATAAGTTATTGGGACTTTTGTGCAATGATACATCTATCCTTATGCTATTCTGTAATATGTAGCGTACGTGCTCTGAATTGCACCGTCAGAGTCATTGTCATGTGGTATTCATTAGCATCACTTTTAGCGCGCAACAATAACAGTGTCGGACGTATGTCGACTGCTAATCTTTTTATCTTTACGCTCTCCTTTCGTTGTAGTAATGATTTGTAATTTCAGATGTCGAACATGTCCTGAAGAAAAATCTGTGTTTGGATGTTTCAGGTTTTCGATCGCAAGTCAAAACGACTAGTAGAAGAGTGGATTGACAATAAGATCGTCCTTGCTATGCGGTCACTTTATCAGTCCAAATTGGGTTTGGCCTTGATTGATATTGGTTAGTTCCTCATTCCTGCTAACCTCTTCGGTGGCTGATTCGAGCTACCTCTGGAGTCTTGAAAGCCTGTGATGAGTAGAAGCATATTCGACGATGAGCGAATTGGGCTGAAATCAACCAACACATATTTGAGATGATTAAAATAATGTATCATTTAGGACTCCCAGATGCTATCTAAGTCGGGTCTACCTTTCACCTGCAACTAACGATGAGAATTAACGATTTAACAACCTGACTATATGTGTCCAGTGTGTAGAGTTTCTAGTTTTATAAATTCCGGTTGTTAATATGATTGTCATATATTTGCTTTCAGGCACCAAGAACATGCTTCAAAGTATCTCAGAGAAACAGGGCATACGCATGAGTACAGCTGAATCCAAGGAAGATATCCCCGCGTTCATCGAGTATTTCAAAGTAAGCATTTAGACAAAACGACCAACTACTGTATTCTGTTATCTAATACGTGGAAGTTTTGTGGTTTTCTTTGGCATTATGTTTCATCGTTTTGAAGGCTAGTCATTACTAATCTGCAACTCATGATTTTCTGCTGATAATTTGAAAATCATATAGCATCGGTGGCCGAGTTTTGATAAGGTCCTTTCGACACATTGAGGAAGAATACCAGTTTATAAACTCGTGCAAGCATGTTTTATTGAACTGTTCTCATGTCATAATTCTGCTGTGCAGGATCGTATAATTGTTGATGAAATCAAAGAACCTATGGAGTATTTCCAGGTGAAATTTTCAGCTTTATCATCGTGTATCCTATTGGAGTCATAAAGTTGCTCAAGAGGACATGATTAAAGTGGGTTATTGTTTTATAAATTTCTCATTTACCAATAGCAGTATCTGAAACATCTTTTGTCTCTAGATTTAACTTGAAAGTAAAGGATTTTCATAACTCGTTTCAGCCGGTTTCGCTTTGCAGACCTTCAACCAATTTTTTATCAGGGAGTTAAAGCCAGGAGTGCGATCTATTGCGTATGAAGACAATGCTTTAGTTGCGGTATCTGCTGCTGACTCTCGTTTGATGGCCTTTAGCAGTCCCGATGATGCCACTCGATTCTGGATTAAGGTTCACTTCATCCATTTTGCTTTCAGCTGATAGCCATATTTTCTTGGATAGTTGTTTGGGGATATAACGTATCCTTTAGATCTATATCGTTTTTTTATTTTTATTTTTATGTTATTTTTTATTAGGGGTAGTCTGTTAATTTTTTCAAAAATAACAACCGGTACAAAAAATTGCTATACTAGCTACCGGTCTCAGTATTAATCCATCTGAGGCTGTTAACTCCATTTATTATCAAGTGAAAAAAATAACGTAGAATAATGTGTTATACTTATGTGGGTATCACCCAGTAGTGCATTTTCTTTTATCCTGCTCTGAATATAATGATGTTTTATCTGATAACATTCTCAGTCAACTTTACATTGATTTTACCGATCTGACCCTAACGCGCTGTGGCAGGGTCGCAAGTTTTCAGTGAAAGGCCTTCTAACTGAGAACACCTATCAGGACTTTGAGGGTGGTCCTATGGTTATCTTTCGTCTAGCACCTCAGGTCCACATCTGACCCTTCGTAACATTGGGACATTGAAATACAGGCAAGTCTTTTTGAAGCCAATGGTTTTTGAAGCCAGTTTTTGATATAACTGAAATATTTTCCTGCAGGATTACCATCGTTTTCATTCTCCAGTTACTGGTAGGATTTTGAGAGTGGATGATGTACCCGGAATGCTGTACACGGTAATCCATCACATATACGTTGGCTTGAGAATGCCATTCTTTCCAACCTATGCTGTTACTGAGCATTGTGATATATGAATATGGTGCAGGAGTTGAGCATATAATATCGTGAAAACAAATTTATATTTTGATTACTCCGCTGATGTAAACATTATTATATATTGGTTCATTTATGTTTTTGATCTTTTCAGTGGGATTGAGAGATGGCTGTAATATAATGTCGTGAATCATAGGTGAACCCCATAGCTGTTACCAGCAAATATTGCAATGTGTTTACTGAGAACAAGCGAGCAATCTGCCTCATCCAAACGGAGGAATTCGGCAAGGTATAGTTAATCGGGGTCAAGTTCACCGTCTTCATACGCTCATTGATGTGTTACTGTTTACTTGATCTTCAAGTCTACTATTTGACAAGCCCTTGGTGAAGCAAACTAGGAAAATAATCTTGATTACCCAGTCCTTTGTTTCTTGTAGTTAATTTATACTGATTGTATGGGAGTTGAATACAGGTGGCATTTGTCGCAATTGGTGCTACTATGGTGGGCACAATCACGTGGTCTAAGAAAGAAGGGGATCATGTCAAGAAGGGAGAAGAGGTTGAACAACGAAAGCAAATTTTCCCAAGAATGACTTGAAAACAGTCGCTCCCTTGAGTTTTGTTTGGCTTTGGGATTGTAGGGCTTTCTCTTGTAGTATTGCCATCGCCCTTGCACATCTTTCATTTCGGACTATTTTGGTGCCTAGATTCCTTACAAACCCATATGATGTGTCGCAGATGGGCTACTTCTCATTTGGAGGCAGCACAGTAATTTGTGTCTTTCAAAAGGTTTGTACATTGATCAAAGGTTTCCATCGTCTCATGTTTACAGCATGTCTTTCAGGGATGCTTGACTTCGCAACACAGAGGACCATTTCTTCATTTGGACATGAATGCCGTAATCTAATGTTGTACCCATTCCCTGCTAACTGATCCACTTTTTGACTTATTCCTGCAGGGGCGCATTGATCTGGATGAAGACCTGCTGGCAAATAGTAAGAGAAGCCTAGAGACTCTGGTGTTCATGGGTATGACAATTGGGGTTGTAAGTGGTCACACTTACGAGGCGATGGAGCATAGGAAACGACCAACCATTACAGATAGTGTTGCAGGGCAAGACAATGAAGATGCTAAGGGATTTCAAATAACTGATAGCATCAATGTGCGCTTAGGCCATTTGGGTTTTGAAGATGAATCAAAAGAAGCACAGTAAATGCCTCTTGCAGGGGCGCATTGATCTTTCATCTTATAGAATTGTCTGTTGGTGAATTTATCGTCATGGTCAGGAGGTTAGAAGTTCCACCTGTTTTTCTACGATACGTAATGTATTCCCCTGCGCAGATTGTGTTGGCAATTTATTTTTTTTCAAATTGGAAATAAGCAACTCACTGCCACATCTTTAACCGTTACTGTCTACACACAGAGGTAATAGTGCCATCTAGAGAAGCCATGTTGTGTGCCTTATAAGCTCTGCAGAAACAGCTAGAACATATAAACAACTTCTTGGACACAATACACTTGCGAGCAAGGTTGATTAGATCTGATCAATTACTTCCATCTTGCCATGATCACTGTAAATGTTCAAAATTAGTTTAATATTCAAAACACATTGAAATTTTGACAAACTCTTTTCTTAGATTTCAACACCAAAAAAATTCACATGGTCTCAAGAACTTTCTTTATTTTAGAAGTTTTCAATATATATATATATATATATATATATATGTATGTATGTTGCAAAGTTTATTTTCTTTGTAAACTATACATATATATATATATATATATATATATATATACTTTGCAAGATATATATAAACTTTGTAATTGATACATGTGTATTTTATCTTAATATATTTTTATTCCAATTAATTTTGTAGTTAATATATGTAAGTATGTTTATAATGGAAAAATCAACATTATTGTATAGAACTCTGTCATAATTTTCAGAGTGTTGCAAAATAATGCCAAAAAATGATACTTTTCGCTGATAAATGTTCCAGAAAGTTAAAGAAAATAAACCTTTGCAAGATATATATAAGTTCCTAAGTGCATCAAAATTTATCATGGGTAAAATAATAAGGTAAAGTGTTTCACCCTCTTAATTTAGGAGAAGGTTGGTAGTTACATATTTTGTACGTTTACTTTAAAATGGAGCAATGTGTTTTTTAATGAATACTTTATAGATACAAGCCCTTCAAAAATCCTAATATGCTACAATATTTAGAATTGGATAAAAAGAAAATTCTACAACAGTTCACAAAAGAAGAAGAGTTGCAACCTGCATAAAAAAATACGCTTGTTTCCCAAATACTCTCGTATTGCTTATCAAACAAAGTATGCCACATGAAAAAACAACACCATTTCCTTGATTAATTAAACAAAAACAAATTACAATCACTTAGACTTAATGTTACTGTATTACCTCGTTACCTCAAGAATCCAATTGAACTCGAGCGAACTTTGATCCTCCTGCAAAACGAATGGAAAGATACAGTCAAAACCTGCCCAATCAGATGTTTACTGTGATGGAAGGCAATTGCTACTTTACGAATCAAGAAACAATAAATAACAACGAAAGGAAAATAAATCAAAACAAAACACACCCACACACAGACACAGTTTTCTACTACAAGACAATACAATGCAATACAACGCTGAGCAGAATGAAGCAGAAGTGGAGATGGAGATACAGTATTCACAATGCGTGCCATGCACCCTGATCTCACATGGGGTGCCATGAAGGTGTCCCCGGAGCAATGGGCGGACTGCCCAACGCCGCAACTGATGATGCCCCACATTCCACATCCCTTACAAATCTACCACCACAACAACCACCATTGCAACCAGACTAGCAGCAGACTTGTTGCAGGGCTGTTGAATGCAGCACCGCAGCTAGTTGCTGCTGCTGCCTCGAAGTTCGTTCCGCACCGCGCTGCCTCCCTGACTACTCTGCAGGTCGGTGCCGATCCCCTCAGCACGGTCAGACCCCATTCCTTGTGAATGCGTGAGTGTGTCAGTACCTCGCCTCCTGCCCCCAACACGGAGGCATCAATCGCCAGGCAGCGTCGCCATCGCCCCTGGCCCGGTTCCGGGGAGGCCACTTCCCCCCCCCCCCCCCCCCCCCCCTCCCACTCCACCATGATCTTTCATGCGTGCACCTCCATCCCCCCTCATTCATTGCTGACCATGCTGCTGTGAAATCGACGTTCATGTCACCTCCGTGCCGCCTGAATCAGCTCTAGTTCAGTGCCGGTATGTGTGACTCTCCGTTGATGAGGGTTCATCGCTAAGGCGCTGTTAAGTTGCCCAGGGTAAGCCTGTTTTGTTGGGTGCACTGGCAAGCGTCGGTTTGTTGAGGGTACTTTATTTCTGTAGTGGAGGTGACACATCTGTGATCGCTTTGGAATGTATGATGGTGTGCGATCCTCGCTGCCAGGTTCTGCTTGTTGCTGGAATTTAGACATGTGCTGAAGTTGGTGTAACGTAACCAGTGGAATCAGTGCAAATGTGTAAGGTGGGGGAAGTATCATATGGAAGCATCTGGCAGGTACTGTGAAACTCGTGACTGTTCAGAGCCCCCAGGTACGAGTAATGAGTCCACTGACACACCTAAGTGATACGATTTGCACAAGTTGTGGGGGTTTTCAGCTGCATTTGCTTTTCCTGTTCTTGGAACTTCTTTTCCTTGCTTCTTGGGGATTAGCTGCATCAATGTTTTGTTCTCGTCGAATGTGACAGGAGTGGCAACTAGCTCTGAGCTTCAGATTTATGATCAAGTATCGATTCCTGGTTAGTGCAGGTATTTCAAGTGCATATTCCTGCCGAAGACTACTGAAGCTTGAAACGGAGGCCATAACACTAGAACAGATTATCAATTTGAGGTCAAGGAAGCTCAAGTCTTAGAAGTTGAACAAGCATCCATTGCTGATATCCATGGGATGCTGTAACAGAGGGATAGCTGCTTGACATGCCTAGTATGGCGCTCACGAAGGGCTTTGAAGTTGACTTCGCCATTGCAGCAGTGATTGTGTTCATGGTTTGCACCTGCCACGCCAAGTCTGTGGATGTTGGAGGAACGGCAGGATGGGCAAGCTACGATTCCAGCCAAACTACTGCTCCCAATTACGAAGCGTGGGCGTCTTCCCAAAAGTTTTACGTCGGCGACAGTTTAGGTGTGGATCGAAGCCATACATGCTAGAGACGCTAGGAGAACTTCTTTCCTACATTCTCTGAGCCTTCATCATGCCTTCTAAGCTTCAACTTACTCACTAGCTTGTTGTTAGCTGTCCTGTTGCAGTTTTCAAATTTGCAGCAGGAGTACACAATGTGTGGCAAATGAAATCCCAAGCCACGTACCAAAATTGTGACTTCGACGGCGCTACTCTGCTTGACGAGGGGAACTCAGGCTACTATTCGGTAAGTAGGTTTTGATTCTCCCAAGTGTGCAACCCATGGTGCATTTGCGAATTATTACCCCACCTTGATTCAGTAACTTTCATATGCACAGACCATGCATAGGATTCTAGGTTATGCTCGATGTTTATGAATCTGTCTTTGGCAAAGCAAATGCAGTGGAAAGCGACGCAGCCAGGCGTGTACTATTTCTCATGTGACAAAGGAGCCGAAGGCGTGGGCACACACTGCAACTTCAACCAGAAGCTCGCTATAATGGTATCCAAATCTGCAAGCGCTCCGACTCCCTTGCCTCCACCTTCACCATTGCCATCCACATCGCCGCCTCCTTCCATAGCACCGCCACCACATCCAAACATCACTGCATCATCGCCATCACAACCGCCGCCACCTTCTTCACGTCCACCTTCGGTGAGCCCTGAACCTCACAGTTTCACGACTCCAGCTCCTGCCACTCCCCCGAATTCTGTAATCCCAACCCCATCTCCTACCCCATCGTACTCCTCCCCACCTTCTAAAGCTCCAACTCCATGGCATCACGCGGCGCCGGTCCCGGTCCCAGCTCCAGTCCCAGTCCCAGTCCCAATGTCGACACCACCTCCTGCGTCGACAACCACTCCAGCTCCATCCCCGTCTATACCTCCATCTACATCTCCGATTTCGACTCCACAAGCTTCGACACCCTCGGATTCATCAACTCCAGATCCTGGACTGCCCGAGGTGCCAGGCGGTGAACCAACAGCTCTTGTCACTCCTCCCCAGGTAGGTCATCGCTCCCCACCCATGGCTCTTTCCTAGTCTTGTTTTTTTGTAGGTGCAGGTGTTTTGTAAGGGATGCAAAGCACTATTATCGATCAGGTTGAACTCCAACGCTTAAGTTGTAGTTGCTGATTCCACCGTGAACTGTCATTTCCATGTCCATTCTTCCCATTGCAAGTGATTCACTTACTCACTGACTGCTTGATGTCGGATGTCGGATGTGTGCAGAATGCTGCCGGGGCTTTGCGGCGTGCACAGTTGGGCTGCTCTGTGCTGCTCCAAGCCATCACACTTCTTTCCGTTCTCTCCAAGTGATGTGATGACAACGTTGCAGGTTTGTCGTCTTGCCATTCATTCACTGCGATCCATTGGGTGGGTGTCGGTAAAGATTCCACGGCACTAAGGAGCCACTTTTAGGGTTGTAGCTTTCGGACCCAATGTGTTCTCAGTGCTTGGACACCATTCATTGCATTCGTGATTGGTGTTTTAGTTTTTGTGGTTTCTTAATCTTTTAAATTTTTCTCTTTTGTGTTTCTTCGGTGAAGCCAGATGCTGCGACTGTGCAGCTTCGATTTTGATAGACAGGGTTGTTCTATAGAAGAATCTGGCATCTAGAAATGCCAGAGTCTGTTGCCTGAGGAAATTCCTCTGCACTTCTTAATGCATTTATATATATATATATATATATATATAAGTTTTCTTAGAAGCATGTGTTTGTGAATCAGTTTTTAAGGCATCAGTGCTATTATTTAAGTAAATATGAGTTGATTCTTAAATTACTTTAAGTGATAAGTATTAAATGTTTCTGATGTACACTAGGAGAGATGTTCTGCTGTATTCATCCACATGTGGTCACATAAATCTTGTGGTCACATTAACTTAATGAATGCAACATGAGTCTTTTTCTTCCAAATATTAGGGATGAGATGAATATTATAAAGGCTAGTTAAGGTAATCAATACATTTCACACTTAAGATTTAAAATCAATCACTACCCAGACATTCTTGTTCCATGTTCTATTGTCACCATCATCACAATCTCTCACCTACTTGGCATATATATATATATATATATATATTTTAATTCCAACCACAATATTTGAAATATTTTTGATATGTTTAAATAATTTCAAACCATATACAATTTTAAATTTTAAATTTAAATATAATTATTAAATTAATAAAAATAAGTTGTGGTAGCAATAACTTTGATGACATTAAGAATACCTTATAAATATAAATATCTTCTATGAGATTAAAAAAAAAACATAGTTGCTATAAGTTTAAAATTCTAAACGAATATGAGTTAAAGGCATATTTTTTCATAATATATTTTAAATTAATTATCTTCAACTAAATTGATTTTTAAATTTGATATTATCAAATAGTTTTAATTTTATAGATTAACAAGATTTTCGAAATAAAGTATTAATATGATCAAGATTCAGATTAAAATTTCACACTTAGTTGTATTCTAAAATATTAAAATATACAAAATAGCTTGTAATTTTTAATTTAAACTAAAATTTTACATGCAAAGAGATAAGAATTCAAAAATATATATACTTTTAACATCACATACCACTTAAAAAATTGACCATTCTTGATACTACAATAATATATATATGTGTGTGTATATATATATTTTTAACATAATTATATGTATACATATTTAAATTTTTTGGAAGAATATGTCATCTTGCAATTAACATTAAATATTTAGAAGCTTATTCTCTTAGCATATGCTGCTACCTTTGCTTTGGCATTGCTTAATTCTTGCTAACAATAATGTTAAAGCAACTTGTACAGTGACAAACAAAACCGAGTACAAAATCTGAAGTGCCAACTTTCAAGAGCAATTACAGAAATTTCAATGATTGCTTTATAAATCTGAAAGTTACATGGAATAATACACACAGTCTTGTATACATGTACAAAGTTGCACATCAAATTGATAACTAAACATCCTTCTACAAAGTCAAATCAACAACTATGTCTTGTACTCAGTATTGTTCAAAGAAAATCTTCAAACTTCAATATTTAGTCCAATAACCTTTTGCTTCCAAAACAGCTGAAATCCTTCTTGGCATACTTTTGTATAGTTTCTCACAATCTTTTGCATCAAAACTAGGGTAAATACTACAAACATTCTCCCACAATTCTTCAACACCTCTTGGCCTTGGAGTGACTTGGCTTAAACGCTGTTTGAGAAGGGCCCAAAAATGTTCCATTGGATTCAAATTTGGAGATTGAGCTAGCCATCGAAGGAGCTGAAATGGTTGTGAAGAGAGCCAAAATTGAACACTTTTTGTCATATGTTTGGGATCATTATCATGTTGAAAAACCACCTTAGTAGGATCTAAGTTGTAATTCTGTGTGATACTTTGCAAGTAGGTTTCTAAATTTTTTTTGTACAAGTGTTGCTCCATTCTACCTTCAATTTGATACCAAGCACCTGGCCCAAAAGCAGTCATACAACCTCAAATCATAATTGAACCACCACCATGTTTGACAGTTTGACTAACATGTTTAGGTCCAGGTCGTTCTCCTTCTCTCAACCAACACCAAGACCTACCATCTGAGTTGATTAGGTTAATCTTTGTCTCATCACTGAAAATAACCCGTCTCCAATCATCAACGGTCCAATTTTTGTATTTATGAACAAAACTCAACCTTGCAAGAACATGTCTTTTGGCAAGTAGAGGCTTCTTTTGTTGCACACAAGCACCCAAACCAGCTTCTCTCAAACCACGCCTCAAGGTGATGTCTGAGAAGTGTTTATCTGTTTTTTCTCGAAGTTGTTTTGCAGCTGCACTTGCCGTTTTGAGACAACCAGTAGTGACAAGGTGCACACCAAGTCGCTTCTCTTGCTCTCCTAAAACCTTTGGACGTCCTCCTCTTTGCTTTTCTATTTCACCACTAATCTCCCTCCTCAGATGAGCTACTGAAGACTGACTCATTCCAAGTGAGTCTGCAACTTTTCTTGTAGAAACACCACTCCTAAGCTGCACCAATGCTTGGTGCTTCAATGATTCACACAACCGAGGCATAGAGATACAATTGAAAAATCAACTTTTACTATAGATAGTATACAACAAGAACAACACAACAAACAAAAAATGCCCTCAAATCTTGCAACAAGGAGTGTATATTGAAATTTCGAAATTCAGCAAGAAGAAGCAACCAAAACTGAGTACGCATGTCTGTGTGCTTCTACAACACTTTTCTCATAAACCCTACATCAAATAATAATGAGATTTTTCATCCATGTAGAAGACTGGATGAATACACACAATAAAAAAGTAATTCTATCAATTGACTTATGTGTCAGTTGGAAGGATCAATGAACTATGAGTGTTCAGATTTTGTACTCGGTTTTGTTTGTCACTGTATATGTAATATTTATAATATGTTGAACCACATTTTTTAATATATTTTTTCTTTGAATACATAACTTACTGAGATGATTTAATTTCTACTTCAAAACTAAATATATGACACTCACTTGGTTCCATGATTATATGATGGCACCACCTCCTTATAAGTCTTGTTGCTTTTAGTAATGTTTGTACTAAAGAGAATCACAATAAAACCACTATTGCTAAATTAATATTTTACCCAATTTACTTTAAATATCTATTTTTTTAAGATACACTTAAAATGCTCCAAAGTATTTGAAGATTATCTTCATATGTTCTTTAACAATTTTCTAGCAAATTCTATTTAATATTTGTCGAAACTAAGCATTGTTACCAAATTATTAAAACACTTATAATGATAGAGTTGCCAAGTCTTCTTGACAAAAAGGACTTGTGCTAAAGTTTGTATTTGATTTTGTAATTTTCTTATCCATGGATTATATATATACATATATATCGAAGTAAATTAAGATAAACAATATAAATACCTTTCTTATTATTTCTTGTTGGCTGTACACAATTTTTCATTATTTATCTAAATTAATCACGCACCTTGTTAAAACTAGTTTTTTTAGATCTATCGTTTCACATACACACAATGTTTTTTGATTGTGAAACCATCGTTAAAATTTCATGTGTATATAAATATAAATCACAAAGGCATTTGTAAACACGTCCATTCTCACATCTTTTGTTGTACTATATATATATATATATATATATATCTATCTATGCACACACATATCTCTCTCTATTTTCAATATTCTGTTTCAATACATTGCATATAAGACAAAAGCGACACCTCAATGAACTCGTTCCTACTTGGCATCCATCAACAGTAATTCGCAAGGACTGCTTCAATGAGAATATCGAACGAGTAGAATTATCACTTGACACTAAAAATTGCAGTTAAGAATGCAGCCTCTCATGTATGCATAACCCACGACAGACTCATCTAAGATATAACAGACACTAAACAGCACCTTTCAGCACCTTCAGATCTTACATTGCGGAATGAATAATAAATAAAACGTCGAACAAGCGTAAAACACACACTAGGTCGCTCAGAAAGTACTCGTATATACCTTAGAAGAGAGATCATGAGCAGCAAGAAACAAATGCAAGTGAGAACCCAGCTTGGTACCTTACTAAATGCTTCCAGTCCTCAGAACAACACATTGTGAGCAAATTGCCCACTGTGAACTCCAGTCAAAAACAATTGAAACCTGGGTGACAACTCAGAAGAGGAAAATTTGGAAATAAAAGGCAAAATTGCATTCTCTTTCATTCCTTAAGGTTCGACTACAAAATATGATATCTGCATCTTACCGCATGCTCCCTTCGCGCAACACATCAATCATATTGTACAACTTCTTATCTGATCTCTCTCGGATCTGCACATTACAGCGAGCATCCAGAGACTTCAGAACTGCCTGTCTAAAATTATATTCGGACACCAAATACGAAAAACCGATAGCAATATGTACAGTGATGAGTGCCTCCTGAAGCATCCTCAAAGGCAAGGCATCACTCCAAACTGGTGGTCAAGAAAGTAAAAAAATCCAACTTAAATGGAACAGAATAATTTCCTCAGTCAGATGCTTACCTTCTTGGCTAAAAATAAGACTGCATCGACAGTACCCTCTGCATATATAGATCTCCCGCACACATTGTGCTGAAATTCAAAGATAACCCTACAGGTACAAGGAGACCCTTTCAGATACGAATACCTTCAAAACGATTCAAAGTATGACTAGGACATCTTCGAAGAGTTGATGTTAAATGCTGCTTCAATATGCGTCAGAAAACTTGAGAATAACAATAACAGTGCATTGCTAGTCCATGGGCAGGAGTTTTCGTACATGCCGTCTGGCGAAACAACTTGGTATGTATGATAAGCATGACCATTAAGGTGTGCTTCAGGCACTTTCATCTCCTCAATTTGCCTCTTGGGATCTCTTACCATCTCGATCTGCCACAATCCACAAGCATCCAGCAGAGATGAAAAATCGCACGCACTAGTGAGAAAAACAAGATAGAGGATATTAATTTAAGAAAATATTACAGGTTACAGCTGAAATTGAGTAATTTAAAGGGATGCGTAAGGGACTGAAAACAAACACCTCTTCCATGTCAAAGGCAAGGCCTAGTTTCTGAAAGCTGCCAATAATAGCTTTCGCAGTTCCAGACGTATCCACTTTGGTGGACTGATGGGATTCTAGAACCTGCAAGCATACACAACACAATTCTGAAGTATTCAACGACAGGAAAGCTGTCTAAAACTCGTGAACAACAAGCATTATCATCTATTTTACACAAAACCACGCACAACCACAGGCTTCATCGAGTATCCTTATAAAAGGGCATTTGCTGAAACAAACATCAAGCATTTGTTGAATAACTTCAGCATGCAATGCTACTCGCTGAAGTTGAAGACGTGAAAAGTTTGAAATTCTAGAAACCTTGAGTTTGTAGCCTGAAAAGGCGCCTGGGAACTGCTCAGCCATGATCGCCATAGCTGCTTGAAATGCTACAACCTGGAACACAATTTATTTTTAGGTTCATGGCTGTCAAGACTTCGACACTCCATTTCATTGATGCACAGATACAAAGGATTTCTAACTGTAGAAAATGATGATCTACCGGCTGTGAGTACGTGTCTAGGGGGTTTATGGATAGGAAATGCGTCATAAGACACATTACCTGCTTTCCCATTTGAGGAGCGATAACTGAGTATACCCCGGATTTCAATACATCCTCCATAAGCTTATCACGATCACCACCCGTGGTACCCATCACGAATGGTAGGCCCCGACTACAGTAAAATTCAGCATTACCTGTATGAACACCGCTTTAAACTCCTGAACGAAGTCGGCACCACCACAACAAAAACCAAAAACCGATAGCATCCAAGAGACATAACACTCGCGCTGATGGAGCCTCATCCCTAGCCAAACCGGACTTCTACATCAAAGTTAGGGCAAGAGTTATGCTTCACCATTCACAGCTGCTGGTAATGTGTAGTCCACGACAATGACATTAGGATAATCTTGCAATACTTGATCCATCACTCGCTCACGCTCTTGAGAATCCACAGACTCGACATTAACCCCCTGAATGGAGAATGAACGTCCAAGACCAGGCCCCGTAAGACAAACAGGCACTAATTGTAGGCCAGCCCTAACAGCCGCCTCTGCAACAGCTCCACCCATCTTCCCCGAGCAGTCATTCACCATAACCGCCAAATCCCCAAAACCCCTAGTGCTGTCCCCCGCCGCAGCTCGCGCGCAAACCGGAAATCTGGCCTCCATTCTTTCAAACCTCGCGCCGCACCCAAAAACAACATGTCCCTTCAAATTACTAAACCTCAGGTTTGTAGAGGGTGTTCGCTTAAATTCCAGAGAATGTGATCGCGCCGGCTGGTGAATGCCACTGAAAGCATCATTGGAAAGGCACTGCGGAAGCAATGCCATACGAGTTGCCATATGATACCTCGCGAAGGACGCTTGAGTCAACTAACAACCAAGATAGTCAAAAGAAGACCACCAGACCAAGTCCCCCGAACTCTAAACCCCGAAGAAACAAAACGCAAACTTCTGGCACAACTCTGGGTGCAATGCAGAATACAGGGTTTTAGTATGAGAAGGTATGGGTATAGGTGACGTGTCATTTTGAAGTCAATGGCATGCGTCCAGAGTAGTGAGATATTCCTGACTCGAGTTTTGGTCATGTTTTGATCATTCTACAACGCTTCGTGTATCGGTGCAATCCTCTACTGGAACCTCAACTTAGCCATACATTTGTATTCTATGGAGCACCTTACCAGCACATTTCAACCGGTAAATTCGTGCATCCTCACCGTAGACATCGTTCTTCTCAGCGCATCTCGTTTTCTTTCTTGCTCGATGTATGTGAAGGCCAGCCCTCGGAAGTTCTCGAGCCTTCAAGATTTTGCCTTAAGTGCATGTGGATACTTTTTTTTTGTGACGCTGATCGAGTAGCCCGCTAGTTTATATTTCGTTTGCAGATTTTAGTGAAGTGTTGATGTGGGTTGAGAGGATTGAGAACAATGTGCGTAACTGTGTTATGATAAGCATCTCTGCTTGAGCACTGAATCAATTTTCTTGATATGTAATGTCGTGTTGTAAATGTGAAGGAAACTCTCCAGGAAATCTTTAAGTTCGTGTGGGCTCAAACTGCAAAAAGTGAGAACCCATTACTTATCTGATACATCTTCCCCTAGTATTTTCTTCATTCAATGCTTGTTGCAAGAAGTTTGCACGTTCTCAATTAATTTTATCACGTTGTGATCCAGAACGGTCGAAGGAGGACTCAGATGAAGCAGACCCTGAGGTGGGAAGGCTATATCACTACTTCCTCTTTGCTAAAAGAATGTATATTTCTGGCTTCACTTAAGCAATAGCAATTACCAGAGTAAGAAGTCTCATTATGTGTACTGACGCTCGTATCACGATTTTTGTTCGTGACTTTTAAGAGGATTGTTTTAACTTCGTCCGCTGCTGTTTCTGCAGGTTGCCGCAGCAGGTGCAGGTCCTTCTAAAAAATCTCGGGGAACAAATAGTGAGCATTTTCGCCAAACCTGCATGCCATGTTTTTACCTGAATAATGTAATGCTGTTTTAGAATTGATGCAGTGTTCCAGGCTAAGAGGTTAGGGTTTTGTGTGAGGATAAGCCTCCAAATTTAATTCCTTAAGGGGTTTTCCGATGTTGAAAAAGGATGTCTGATGTTATGTTTAATGCCATGAACACAGTCAATTCAGATGCCTTGAAACTGAGTTGTGAATACCTCCGCCTTTTCGTTACTGGTACGTTGCGTGCAACTCTTTCTTAATCTTCATTGGTGAGGATGTGTGCAAAAAATAGTTGAAGTTGTCGTGTGCTGGCAACACCATGAAGATACCTGCTGAGAGGACTACTTTTGCATGCAACAGAGGCAGTGGAAAGAGCAGCATTGGTTGCTGAAGCTGAAGGATGCACAACAATCGAGGGAACTCACTTCGAAAGGATCCTGCCACAACTACTGCTAGATTTTTAAAACTGCGTCGGTTTTGGTGATTCCATTTTGCCTGACCATCCTGTTAGACAATTCATAGTAAATTGTTGAACTTAGGGCTCTGTCATGTACACGAATATGAAACAAATTTGTCGTTTTAAAAGATGCTTCTAAAATACATGAGCTTCACCTTGAATGATGCTCAGGTTACCAAATTGCTCAAAGTTTGTAAGGTGTGTTTAAATTACAATGTGCGGTATTCTATTAAATATCACAGTCAATTAGATGCCAAGTATGGCACAAAATTTCAAAGATGCTAATATCTCCTCGGCTCGTGCATGTGTGCTAGTTATTACAAAACAGAGGATGAAGAATTCTGCCCATTACACGGACATATCTACTGCTAAATTAGTCTAGACCATACACAGCACCTCTTTCTACATAATGTTCATTGTCCCAAGGGGCGCTTTGATCCTGCTGAACAAAACTTCCTGAGACTCATTACAGCCATCCTGCAAATTTTGCAACATGCGAGGAGCATTGAAGTAGAACATTGGAGATTCATTTATTGAGAGGTTTCTTGGACTTCCGAGATTTCTTACTAAGCTTTTCCGGATTCTTCCTTTCAGGAGGATGGAACTGTTGCTGAGCTGGGGCAACTGTAAGAGTTTGGCCCCAGGACTCAGGACCAAAGCTCCTGTAATGAATCTCTCGATGTTCCTGGCAAAATGCACATGGCCAGCACAGGCAGTGGATGACACAATCCGACACTGGCTCTTCCGGAATATTATACTTGGAGCGTAGCTTTCCACGATATGACGAGGAATACAAGCAACCCAGCGCAATCGTGTGCTGGAGCACCCACCACATTGCTGCTGCAGTCCAGCAAGAATCTTTGCTCTCGTCTAAAGCCTCGACGTTCCATCCAAACGCGAAGCATGGGAGGAACATGGTGACGCAACACATAGGCACATCTGCGCAGCAATCAAACAGCCCAGTACTCCACATTGGTTGGTTCTGGACAACAAGAATCAACGGAAACAATCAGTTAACAACTTCGTTAACTAAAAAATAATCATAGAATGCTGTTTAAATCTTTCTTATCCTAAAAAACATAATAGAATCAACACTTGAGGAAATAACGCAAATATTTATACGTTGGCAGCCAGGTGGCTGTTGAGACCTAACTAAGTATGCCTTTAGAGCAATTCACATATTACTACTTGTGGCCGTCTGCATTGAAGATTCACATTTTACAACATATAATTTAGATCGAAAAGAAGAAAACTGGGGGTATGAGGAATTACCTGCCAGATAGGAATTTCACATTCGGAAAGCTTGGTCTTCAGCCCGGTCTGCATTGCGCCATAATCCCGACTCTGTGCAGACTGTTCCGAAGCCTTGGAAATATGAGAAAGTAGGGGCGTCCTCTCTAAATCCGATACCACCCCCTGCGGACTACTTTCATACGTAGACTTTGAGAGCGAGTGTGAAGTTCGATCACCGGATTGTAATCCACTGGTCATGGTGGATCAAGTGCAAAACAAGAAAGCGAAAAAGGAACCTTTCCCTAAATTGTACCCTTCAGAAAACCTCACGACAAGAACAAAAGCAAAGTCATAACAAACTTTGAATCACCTCCTGTAGTGGATTTCAACGCCACTTACACACAAGACCTCCAATTCAAACCACTAGGAGACCGAAACTGATTCGCACCCAAGCACAATCTCTCACATCCCAGAGACACGACCCCACTACAAAACTGTGCTCCTCGCATTGCAGGATGATCCCCAACGCACACAAGAACAACAACAACAACAACAACAACACAAATAAAAAACAAAAAAAGACCCCACAACCCGTTACAGCACCACCATCACAGCGACCAATTTCCCTGACTTAAACTAAAAAAACCCAATTCGAATCCCAACACAAGCGACCGCTTCTCCATGCACTCGGAACCAAAACAAACCAATCCAATCCAATCCAACGCTCAGAATCAAAAATCCCAGCGAACCCTGAGCAGCACCGAACCTTCCACCCAATGAGCACAGTTCGTCCTATCTATCCCGAAACAGGCAAGCTGGGCATGTGCGTCCAACAAGGGTCAGCACGAGGAAACCAATCGGGACAATGGCATGATCCCATAGAAATACTTCGGTGCAGTAGAGCAAATCCAAAAGTGGAAACAAAGCAATCGATCTTGCCTTCCTCTCCGCATGTCAGGACTCTGGTCACGCGGCGTTGCCAGAGTGGAATTCTCACATACCCGGATTGAGGTCTGTGAGTTACCCTTCGCTGTCGATTTGCCCTCGTCATACCGGATATAAAAGTAGGGTTTGCCCCTGACACTTCTCGGCTTGCTGTGTATTCTCAGTTTTCTCTCATAGGAAATGGATTAATCACAAGATCAGACGGCAATTTTCTTTTTAAGGGAAATTATTTTCTAAGCTACGGGTTTAGTAAATTTATGTGTGGATTGACATGTGGGTTGTTAGTTTAAGAGTGTTTTCAAAACAATGACATGTATGCTGAAATTGTTCCATGATACACGTGCTTTCACTCTAAATATCTGCAAAATATACTTAAAAAAAGAAAAGAAAAAGCATATATTTCTGGCTTATAAAATTTTCTTGCTCAAGATTATTGATTACCTAGTTTTCTTTTGACATGAGTATATTTTTATGTATAAATATATATATATATATATATATAAACAAACATACAAACATACTTGTGTCAAAATCAGAGTTCATTGAGGATAATGTACATATTTACAACTGTAAAGTTGAATTTTAACAACAACAAACATAAAAACAAAACAAAAACAAAAAGAAGAGGATTTGGAGTGGTTAAATTGTAAATGAACAAAGAACTAAAAATACTCATACACTTATGGATACACATTCTAATATACAAAATATTAAGTGTATGTCATATCATTATTAAAATTCAAAACTTTGTTGAATTTGGAAACATTTAGTAAGATGCAAAAGGTGAGTACCCATGAAGATAACATTAAAGCTATGATGATAAAATTAGAAGCCATGGAATTCCAACTCTAATCTAAGTGCCAAAACAAATCATTTGGAAGCCATATCAACAATATTGAAGAATATATTGATAATGATGAATCAACCAACCCTCTTAAATATAATAAAAAAAAATACTACTAAAAAAGAACTATGAATGTCTTAGGTAATAGAAACTTGCTTTACTAAGATTAACTTAATAGAATCTAATTAAATTGCGGCCCTTTAGTATCTAGATTTAGGTACTTTATATCATATTATAAGATAGAAATCAATTTTTTCATCACTATAAGTAAGTAACAACAATAAAATCACATCAACATGAAGATATAGCCACAATATACTTAGTATTGGAAAAATATCTATTTAACTTTCTTCTAAAGAAATACAAACAATCAGCCATATTTTTTATTCACCAAGCATTCAAAAAAATCTACTTTCTATCAATTTTGTATTAAAGTTTATGTATTATGTATCTTTAATCTAAGCAATATCAAGCAATATAATTAGATAAGTATAATAACAAAATCATGACAATTTCTATAAACTACATGGCATCACATTTTTATAGGGTGTTTAAAAATTCTTTCTTGTTTTATTGATCACAACAACACATCAACTCTTTAACAGGGACAATTGGGCCACATTCATTATCACAACATGTATAGAATTATAGAACAAGGAATTTTTACAAGCCTTTGAAATCTTGTAGTAAGCAACACATCATGTGAAATTTATATCAAAAGAAAGCAAACTTGGGCAAAGACTCCAAAGTCGCAAATTCAATAAACATCCAACATTTTAGAATTGGTTCATACAAATATTACATGGTCCTTTTGAGTAAAATCACCGAGCAAAGTATGCTACTTTTATTGTGTAGTGGATAATTTTTTGAAACAAACATTTGTATATTTTTTCTTCAAGATAAGTAAATTTTTTCCAAAATTTTGTATCTTCCACCAAACAATCAAAAACAAGATTGGAAAGAAATTACAAATATTAATATTTGACAATAGAGGTGAATTTCCCTCAATAGAATTCAAGAAATATTGTGCAACTTATAACATTCACAAAGGGTTTTTCAAACCTTTCACATTATATCAAAATAGTGTTGTAGAATAATAGAATTGCAACCTCCAAACAATTACTTGTTGCCTACTTTTAATCAAGCCTTTCTAAGCTTCTTAAAAGTAGAAGCAATTCAAGTAGCTTGTCTTTTCTTCAACTTCAAATCTTTAAAATAATAATTAAATAAGATATCTTATAAGATATTTATAGAAATAAAATCAAATATCTTTAAACTTAGAGTCTTTAGTATTTTTGTTCTTATTGATGATATAACTTTATCCATTGATAAATTCAATCCATGATTAAATATATATATATATATATATATATATATATATCTTTGAGCTCAAATCTACATTTGGAAGCTTTTAGATGATACAATCACTTAATATGCCCTATCTCCAAGGATATTTTTTTTAGCAAAATTAGATTCTCATAATCTCTCACAATTAGCCAAATTAATCCATCAGTTTTGAGCTTCTAGCATTTTTTGTAATTTTGCACTAATGAATAATTTGCATACATTGAAATTTCTTGCTGTACTTTTGGAAGCTAATGTATCAACTTTAACTATTAATACAAAACCAACCACTATATTGCCACTATTACCTCAACAAAAAAAAAATTACAATTTATATCGTTAGCTCGAGGTTTTATTAGTCAATGGCACATTGTAGAATAATAATTGCATTATAATGATGTATCCAAGATATAAGCACTTCTTTTGACATAATTTTTTTTGCTACATGATCAAATTATAAATACCTCAAAGATAGTGAATCCATGCTTTTTTTTTATTTACCGAAGTATAACACATTACAATGTTCTACTTAGCTACAACTTTCAAAAATGTGACAAATAATCTTATTTTTATTCACAATTGAATGTCCAATTCTTGAAGAAATAAAAAAAAAAGCCAAAAGTATCCTTTTAGTGGTTTTTATAATGTATAAAATATTTTCTAATTATTGTTTCAATTCTAACGTTCAATGGTGCTACAATAAATTGGATTTCTATTCTATCTTCTTACTAAATTATCAAGCTCACATTTTCTTCTTAAATGCATTACGGTGTTATTTTGTCTTACTTTCAAGGACATCCTCTAGTCTATGAGTGAAATTTTTAGAACTTGATCAAATGATTTTTTATCCAACAAGGAGGAGATTTTTCTTTATATAGTATAAAAATAGCTTTGGCTATGGTGTGGTATAAGCAAAAAAATTATCCTTGGTTTTTGATGCATATGTATAAACATCAAAAATCAATTCTTCCATTACTTAATTACATTTTAGATACTCTATCTTTGCATTTACATCTTCATATAAAAAATCAATGTCTAGATTATTTTAAAAATGAGCAAATATTACTTTGTCTATTGCTTTTTATTCCTTGGACTTATTTACGTCATTATCATTGTTGCCTTAAAAGTCTTTGCTTAAAATCAGCAGCTTATTTTTTGTAGTAACTAATCCTATATATCTTAAATCATAGAATTAAAACTATCAAGATGACATCCTGTTATGAACAATATGAATCTCAAAGAAAGAGAATCCTCAACTTAGTCTTGTATTACTAAAAAGAACTAGAAAGTCACTCAAAAATGATATAATATTGAATTAGAATGACTATTGCTAAAAATAAGAAGAATAGAAAGTCTTGAAATAAGACTAAGGTCTAGAAAGGCATTGAAAAGAGTAAAGAAAGCTTTGTTCTTACCTCAATATATACTCTCTAATTAAGAGTTATGTGGCAATATTCTTAGGACCTCCAACATGTGTTGACTTTGCTAGCTACACGTCTTAAATTACAAGGCAAGTTATCTATATCTGCGCTACATAGTTAGCTTGTTTCACAAGCTATTATACGGAATTAACTTGTTCTATAAGCTACCAATATGTGGTTAACTTATTGGCCAATTTTTTAACCTACAAACACATCTAAAGTCAAAACGGTATCTATGAAGCTTCTAAGAAGCTTTTCTAGAAGACTTTATAAAATTAATCTATATTTACCTACTTCTACCTAATCATATAAGTATATATTGGGATAAATATTTATGTCCATGATATTATCCTCCTTTCTAGGAACAAGTTCCATAAAGAGCGGTTATCATCTTTCATGGGTCTTTAGAATTCTTCATTTTAATTTTGATGAATGTCGTGGATGAAAGGCCTCAACCTTCTTTGTTGTATTTATAAGATTCTTTGCTCGCTTCCATGTGCATTTGCTAATATCATATCCATGCTAATAAATAAGATATTTCAACCTATTTTGGTACTGTCTTGAATCTAAGACTTCTTCTACCTCGAATTCTTGATTATTATCCATTTCTATAGGAAGAGGTGGCATTTGTCTTCTTCCCGAGATATTCATTGTCTTATATGGCTCACAAAGAGATACGTAAAATAGAGGGTGGATCTTCATAGACTTTGGTAGATATAATCGATAAGCAACATGATTGACTTATTCACTAATAGGGAAAGGTCTAAGCCTACAATAGTCCAACTTGTCACAAGGAAGAGTAGTCTTGATATTGTGACGAAATAATCATACCTTATCACCTACGTTGAATTATGGTTGCTCTTTGTGATAGGCATCTATGTTTGTCACGGACCAAAAATACAAACAAGAAATCTAAACAAGAAGTTCAAGAAGAAATGACAAGAACTAGATTATCAGATGAGTACAAGAGCAACGCCAAGAGAATTGAGCTAGAGCTTCAAGAGATGTGTTGTCGAGACTGAAGAACTCTTCAGCCTCGACTCCTATATATACTACTGGCCTATGGTTCTAAGGAAGCGCATCAAGAAGCTTCCCAAGAACTATGAAGCTTCTCGAGCAACTACCCAAGAGCTAGGAAGCTTCTCAAGTAACTTCCTAGAATCTACTAGAATATTCTAAGAATCTTCTAGAGTCTTCTAAGAGAATCTTTAGGGAATCTTCAAAGAATCTTTAGAGAATCTTTGAAGAATATTCTAAGAGAATATTTAAGAAATCTTCTGGAAGTTTCTAGAGACTTCTTTCTAGAAGGTTCTAGAAACTTGTCTCTAGAAAGGTCTAAGGACTATGTCCCTAACATCACCTC